CAGAAAAATGTTACCATGTACGAGGTTAAATAAACAAACAGCTTGGTTTCGATTTTACTGCACCATTTAAAATTACGCAATAAAACAACCTTAGGTTGGCATAAATTTTGAGAGTGATCAGACACAGGTCCCTCTTCTTCAGTAGCAGAAACATTTCTGAAGAATTCTTCTCCCTTTCCACTCCTGAAAAAAAGTAAATAAATAAATATATTCTTGAAAACATTTGAGCCTAACTAGGATTACTTTTTTGCCTAATTTTAAACGTTACATTCGCATGTTCTCTTCAGATGAACGAAGGACGCTCGTAGTGTTTAGCGGGTCTAGCATCAGTCAAATAATTTCCAGAAACGTTATGAACAGAATGTACTTTTGTATTAAAGACATTATAAACATAGTTTATGAAAACAATTTTGCGTTTTCCTCAATAAAATGGTGGCTAAGTATTTACGTGTAAGGTTACCGCCAGGTGGCAGTCACTCTGATTGCCATAACGAAGAGCCCAGATTCGAATCCCGGATAAGGCATGGATGTTTCTAAATTTAGTGTCTTTGCAGCATGGGGGCCTTCTAAATATATAGCGAGTAGAAAGTTCTCTCGCATATATTGGTGGAAGGGTTATAACGTATTTCTTCCGCCTTCTTAGCATCCCTTCGTAGTGTGGTGGTTTGCACGCTTGCCGCGTATTCCAGAGATCCGTGGTTCGATTCCCAGCGAAGGCGTTGCTCATTTTTCACTTTTCCTGCTTTCAAAAAATACCTAATGTCTCTACAGGGGAAGAGAGAGGGAATTTCAAGGAAGAACCACAATTTTGAGAAAAAGCACCCCGAGGTTGGGAGATCCTCGGACCACCTCGGTCAAATATTCCGGTTCTCTCCCACAAAATTCCGGGCGGAAGAGAATGGGTAAAATTATATTGCCACCTAAATAGTGGCCAAAGCTCTTGCTGACGACAGGCGTTATCTTGCACTCCTTACCGCAATTAATTTCGTTTCTCAGTGCTTCTAAGTTCTAAAAATTCTGCCACTTCTAAATTCCGCTCCCTTGTACCCGCCCTAAATTATAATTTTTTTTCACAAAATATTGTTGCTCGGTGCTTCTCTAAATTCTAACAATTTTTTTTCGACTTTAAATTCTGCCGCTCGGTGTGGCCGCAACGGTTGCACTGGCTCTGGCCCCGTCCCTGAGCATTAGAGTGACCCTAAAGAAAACTAGCAAAAATCTGACTTTCTTACGAGTTGCTTAATAGCTGGAAGATTAGATTATAATTGTGAGGATATGTGGTATTATGTAATACATTTAAAATTAGGCATAAAAGCAAGCTTAGGCTGGCATAGATTTTGAATAAGATTTCGGGATTTTGAATAAGACTCTAATAATCGATTTCGAGTGCGATCTCGTTTAGGAGTGAAAAGAAATTTTTTGATGCAGCCGAAAAATGATTGAAATATGAAAACTGATAATTTTGTATACATTTTTTATACGCATATTCTGCAAAGTATTGTTCCTTTTCAGAAATCACTTCGGAGGTTTATTATCGTGCGAGGTTCTCTCTCTATTTACGGTTTGAGTTTTTTCTTTGCTGTTGCTGTTTTTAGTTTTTCTTGCGATGATTATTATTTATTTTTAACTGTCTAGACTAAAGATCAATAGTCTAAACATCAATTTTACTGTGTAATTTCTGAAACAGTTTGTACAAAGCAAGTGTCGTTTTATTATTTATAAGGAAAATTTTTAAATCGTGTTAAAATAGCATCATAAAATCGTGTTAAAATAGCATCATATATGTAACTTAAAAATGAATGTAATCTTTTTTTTTATATTCTAAAAATATTTTATTTTTATATTAAAAAAGTAACTATTTAATCGACACTGGAAGGACAATTGATAACAATACATTAACTTTCGTATTTTGAAAATTTAGCATATTTTGAGAAGTATTAATTGCATTAAATAACTTCATCGCATGATTTACATTTCTACCATACTTGCGTTATATTCATCAATTTAAATAATTATTCATTATAATCAGTTTAGTTATTCAAAAAATCATGAAAAAAAATCCGTATTAATCTCACTGCAAAATTTTCTAGTGAAAGTTCCGTTGTATTTTGTTATTACGTTTGCATTTGTTATGTACAATATGCCTGGTTATTTAGTAAAGAAAAAGAATTGTAATGTACCTAAGTAGTAAAGTAATTGTAATGTACCTAAAGTATTGAGAATCACCCGTGAATACCTTATTTTTTATTAAGGTGGCAAAAGTTTTGAACGCAATTAAACGAGAATTCAAAACATCACGCTGAAGGACTAGAACTAAAATTTTAAAAATGTTAAGCTTGAGATATAATTTTATCCAATAGATGGCGCCACATTACTTTGAAACCCGCCAAACGGTTTCGTCAAACTCGTATTACCGATTTTGAGTTGAAAAAGACGCAACCGCTAAAAGTTACATTTTTTCATGTATTTCATACCGTGTTCATTGTTTACTTTATAAATTATGTGGGAAAAAAAACAAGGTGTTATCCTACATTTAATTCTCTAACCTCCTCTTTCTCCACTAAAGCTCCATTAAAATATTATTTTGATTTTTAATAAAAGTTATAGTTTTATTTTTTCATAAACATTAATGAAATAACACATCTGTCTTTTCGGTAACCAAAAAATAAATAAAAAAAATAAAACAACTTATGACTGGAAGACGTCAGATTACAATGTACCATTTCTAACTCAATTTTACCACTAAATAAATAAAAACAGCACTAACGTTTACCAATTTACAAAACTAAAAGTTTGCTGCTGCATAGACTTTAACTAAATAATAAATAAGTAAATAATTAAAAACGTAAGCTTTTGCTTTTGTATCTACATTTTTTTATGTCTACTGTTGGCATAAATACAGAAATATATATAAAAAAATATATTGAGAACTTAAATACATATACACATTATCAGCTTGAAGAAGAGAAAACGCAAAGTCGGTATACCCGAAAAAGTTTCAATTTTTTTCTGAACAAATTATTTTTTTAACTTTTGCAAGTATTCAAATGTAACTATTTAACTATTTCATCTATGCACATTTTGCTATCGACCCCGTGATCCTAAATGACCCCCTTTAAAATTTCATCGACCCCCACCCCAGAGGGCAAGAGGCATGCAGGGGGGACGGACCACTCCGGATCTTTGATGAAAGTGTGGCCTAAAGAAACTTTTTAAGTATATTCACCTATATAAAGGAATATAAAAAAGTACGAAACTAAAAAGTATTCTGCATTGAAAATGTTAAAGTTTATTGTAGACTTGCAAGAATCCGTCTCCAACTTGTGTTTGGTACTAAAGACTATTTTCGATGGTGTGTGTTTCAGTTGCCTCTTGCAAGAAAAGCTTGAATTGATTAAAAGCTAAAGCTGAAGAAAAGTTGAAGTTAATTAAAAGCCTATTTTTTTTATCAACAATGAGCCAAGTCTTAACAATTTGGAAGTCCTTTTAATTGAAAATACAGTGGCTAAAAACATTAATTTGGGGGAAGCTATGAAAATGTTTTCAGAAGTAAAAGCTCGCAAAAAATAGTTTGGTACTATTCCGTTTTGAGGACCGTAAAAAAATTGCAGCGAAAATGTATGCGCTATAGCGCCAAATCTAGCTACGCGCTGATTTCAGATTGCGTAATGCGTAAGTTTATATAGTTTCTATTTTCTTAAGACGCCAGTGAAATACTAGTTAATTTTTAATCCTTTTTGATTTTCCTAGGATTTAACAATATGGGAATTGCCTATAAGAAAAGTCTGCAATAGAGAATTTTGGGTAAAGTGCAGAATTACCCACTGCTTGACGCGTTTTTAGGAATTGCACATACTCGGTATCCATGTACCATCGACCAATTTTCACTTAAACAAAAATCCCAGAAGAAATGCACAAAAATGGCACTGCGACACCCTGACTTTATCTATGTAACAACAACCTAGTTTCACTTAAAAAAGTAAAAGAAAATTGACAAAATCGATTGTTTTTACCTGTAAAAAGCGGCAAAAAATAAGTGGGGGATTTGCACTTAGAAAATTATGTTTGAACAACCACGAGATGAAATTATGCTTTTAAAGAACTCGGTAGCGAAATAGCGGTGCAGGGCCATTCAGTTATGTTTAGCAATTTTTAAATTAAATTATAAAAGTGACCTGAAATAGTTATTTACTCTTATGCTTCCATTCAGTGATGTTTAGCCTTTTTTATATAAATTATAATAATAAAAATGCACTATATGAAATTAACTTTTCATCTAAATTAAATCATCAATCTTAGATAGTTATTTACTATTCTTGCGTTAGGATTGCCGCAATTATTTTTGGCAGTACTGGCATCAACAGTAGTTTGGCGAATTTTTACGGCTCTCAAAACCGAATAGTACCAATAATTTTAGTTTTTTCTGTACATTAATGTTAAAAAACATTTTTTAAATCATCCCAAAATGGCAAATAAATAAACCTTTTAAAATATATGTTTGCCGACTAAATGCAAGTTGAACTGTAAGTATATGTGTAAAAAAATGCAAGATTTTTTTGTGTGTTTTCCCGATGTTTTTAACCTATTTAATTTTGTATGGAGTTCATCCGAAATAAGGGAGGGCCAGGAAGACTTCCGCCTGGGATTCGATGGCTGCAGGTCTGCCACTGCGAGGGGCTCAAGACCTACCCGTAGAAAACCCCTGCTTTAAATTCATAGCAAGATTTTTTATTATATTCAATATTAGAGAATCTTCCTAAAATTGTTTAATAAAGAGATTTAATTATAATTTCTGTAGTTAGATTTTCAAAGAAATACGAATGTGAATCTTAATGTTAAAAATGGTATTAGTTAGTGCGATTGATATGAATGAATTGATAAATAAACAACCATTTCTAAATTAATATTTAAAGCTCCAATATTAGACTTTTTTTCAAACTAAAATATTTTCACTTAGCCAAGATTCTATTGAAAATTAATATTTCTTTTTATCTTTTCAGAATTTTATCATGTCTGAATATGGTCTGATTATGGTAACAGAAAAACACTGAAGTACTCAGTTAACTGGAAAGAATGTTGGTGTCATCACAGAGAACTGACTCTTCATAAAAGAGGTCATGACAGCTTCGGTTTCATTGGACGACAGGTGAGAGTGTCCCACGTGAGCGGATGGACGGCCATGCTCTCTCTCCTCTTCCTACTTTTGGTCACCGTCCACGGAAGTGACGTCACGCGCGACTTCTTCGGAGATATTTTTCGTATGCGCGATTGCCACAACGGATCCCGATGCGACAATGGGGGCACACGGCCGGCCCTGGAGGTTCCCGGTCGTCCTTGCTATTGCCAGTGTGCCCCGACCCACTTGGCGTATCGAGAGGACAAGCAGCAGTGTGTCAAAGACATCAAAGGTAAAAATTCTCATCGGAAATGCCGTTGAGATTATCCAGAAATTATCGAAGAGCCATCAGTTATTAGAAATCATTAAAGGTATTTGTTATGTTTATAAGTCACCAGAGCATTCTTGTGTGTCATCAATGTTTGGAAGCTCAGATTCGTCATGCATGGGTTAATGAATGCTACAATACGTGTCCCGCATGAAATGATTTGCAATGGCACATGCTTCGACAAGAATCTCGAAATCATATTTTTAAGTTCTATGCAAAGCTACTTGGGCATGCCATTTCTTTTCTTTAACTGTTCGCAGACATAATGCCACAGCTCATTAAATTTATTAGAAAGTAGATAAAGTTGTAAAATAGGAAATTTAATGTTACCCTTGTAGAATTAAGATAATAAATTTCTTTTAGTTGTGAAAGTAATGTCCATTGAACTCGCGATCAAGGTAAAATTCAGAAACATTGGAATGGATGAATTAGAATTTCCTGTCTGCATTCTCTTCCATCAAGTAATAGATTAAATTTTATTTCAGCATTATGCAATTTAAGGAATTAAATATTTCCCAAGTGCTCTTGCCGTGTAACATCGAGCGTATCTAGACAGTTACTCGAAGGTCTCACGTTTGGTTTGGCAGACAGGAGTTATTTCTCGCAATTTCTGATGTTCACAAATCCTTCCTTCTCTACAGGTTTATTGACTCTAACTTTCGTATATCTTTATTTCAGAGTTTCTCAGTGTGGGGAATATCGCCCTCTAGTGGGTTTAAATTAGTGGAGAAAGTTTAGAAGGGTATTATTGGTTCGAGGAACAGTAAGAGGATGTTGAGACACCAGCGGACATTAAGCACTTAAGGGCTATTTTATCACCAAATATTTTTCAGAGAAGCATTTTCAAATATCCTATCAAATTGTGTTTATCGATCTTTCGTGGATACCGGGTGACCAGAAAGTCCTTTTACCCGTGCAATTATTTAAAGTAACTTTAATGACACTTACGGTTATTTGAGCAAAACATCACAGTATGTACACCATCATTATCCCTGCACAGCTTGAAACTCCTGAATATCCTTCTGTTCATTCGCTTTAGCAGCTGCGGTACCACACGCTGGAAGGCTTCAAGCACACTTGTCGGCATAGCATTCATTGTCCACGCACCGCTTCTTCCTGACGTATGATTTGATGATCCCCTGCAGAGTCTGATGTTGTAAGATTCGGACTTCGAGGCGGCCAAGAATAAGGGACTGGTGAATCCAAAGCACTTTTCAGCCGAAAAGTTTCCTTCTCCTACGTGATCAAAATCTGACGACTTGATAGCTTTTTATCGAACCGTTCACGAAACCTATCCCCTGTGTCATATTTTCATTGTTGTGCTATTGTTCATGGATTCAAACACTTGTTGCTAAGCGCTTCTCCAAAGTGAAGTTGTGGGTATCTGCCATTGTTCTTCACCAATCCCAGAAAGTTGAGACATTGAACACTATGGCCAACGCACAGACTTTATTCTCCTGCCCCAGCAGTCATGTGGCAGTTACGCTGCAATCATGACGAAATTCACATGAGTCATATCAATGATCAGGATAGGTGATTCAAATCTTAAATATTTTACTATCGTACATAATTACCTCCCTTTAGTTTAAATGCAAAGGAACTTTCTGGCCACTCTGTACATTGCGCTAAGCTTCAGAATAGATTTTTTTTATTTCAAAAAAATACAAGCCACGGTCTTCACCTAGAAATGCTATTAGTCGATGTCAATTTTGTAACTTGAAAATTGTTACCGAAGGTCATTTACACTTGAAATTGTTACCGAAGGTCATTACATTCATTTGTTACTAGCTTGTAATTTGTTGTTAGCTTTGCAGTAGATTTTGCATATTTTGATACTTGAAAGCATTAAAAGTTTCTTGCTGTTAACGTTCGAAGACAATGAACATTATATTTTAGGAATTCTGTATATCTGTTACTCTTGTTTCACTTCAGATTCAAGATGCTTGAAATCCCGTCGGCAAAATTCGAGATGCTTGATATCCTGTGAGCTAAATCTAATCCATTACTTATCTGTTCGCAAAAACTCGAGCCGATCCATTTGCACTTATTTACGAAAATGTGTAGCAAACATACCAAGACGAAATTTATGTGTTTCTTACTTTACTTAAAGTCTTTATTTACTATACTGCTGTAGAATTTCACAAGACAGTTCTAATTTAGTGTTTTAATTAACAAAGCAGTGCCAATCATTTTATATATAGCTGTCTGTTTCTGATTTTGGATTTCACTATTGTCAGTATAGGAAATACCGATTTTTATTTAAGTGACGTTAAAAACTAAGGAAAATTTCGTAGTGTTTAATTCAAAAGGTATTTTATCTCTTCTTCTTGCGTGCCTTCGTGGTGTGACGATAGCACACTCGGCGCGTATTCGAGAGGTCCAGGTTAGAGTCCAGGTGATGGTATTGCACATTTTTCAAGTCTTCCAGCTTTAAATTAAATTGCTCTACAAATTAAAATATCTACAAAAACTCTACAAATTAAAGTCCAAAACATTTCCATTCATCTTCTTGAGATTAACACATCGAGTGATCTAGTTTTCTATAGCGCAAGAGTTACTGAAAACAAATCTTGCGATGAGGTAAAAATCTAAAGACCAGTTTTGACCACAAAATTCTACGTTCATCGCTTAATTTCTTAATTTTCCCTTTTGTGTCCTCCAAATGACACGTAGATGTCGAATTAACGAAGATGGACATATTGAGCGTGATGTTAAACTATGTTAAAAAATTAATGACTCAGCTTCTAATTTCAATTTAACGAAATTTGGTATCGGTTGAGCAATATTTTATTTGTTACGAATTTTTGAATGAATAATCCTGTTTTTTGCCACTTAAAGCTATGCATTAAAGTATAATATTTGTATTTATTTTTTGCGGATTGAAAAAAAATTAATACTTATAAACATAGTCATTATTGTTGTAGGTTTTGCTTTTATTTAACGGGAAAAAATTGTCTTCACACATGAAATAAATTAAATTTTAATACTTTTATCAATAAATATTTATCTGGAAAACAACTAAAACTGGACAGCGTAATTTTATGCTATGGTTCGTATTTCAATGTAAAATGTGCATGCTATATTATTCTTTAAAAAAATTAAATTAATAATAAATTAATTTTTTTCCTGTTATTACCTAATCCTCTTTTATTTAAATTTCAGTCATTTCGTTACAGTTTTCGTAAATCATTATTACAGATGTGTATTTTTATAGGATTAACATCTTTCATCAGCAAACGTCCTTTGATACGAAATGGGAAATTTTAATTTAACTTAAAACTATCTCTTACAATTCGTTTCTCCATTAAGCAGTCTATAAATTAAAATAGGTTAAAAATAACTAGTGATTGGTAATAATGATATTCATACAATAATTCTGAGTTTTGCAATTTAGACTAATATTTCAGATTGTATATTAAAACGTAACATTTATAGCTGTGTACAGTGGCATAGCTGAAAGGGGGACAGAGAGAGCGCTCTGTTCTGGGCGGCTTTTTCCGAAAGTATTATTGTTTTATAGTTTATTGTTTTAGCATGCGTTTTGTGGTTTAATGGTCAGCACGCTCGGCACGTATTTGAGAGCCCTGAGGTTCGGGTCCCAGCGAGGGCATTGCACATTTTTCATGTCTCCTGCTTTGAAATAACCTGATGTGTCTACAAAGTTAGTCATGTGGTTCATCAAAGCAGATGAAGAGTAATGAAATTTTAAAATGCCATGCGAAATAAAATTGTGAAGAAAAAGAATTTTTACGCTGAAAAAGGTATTCAAAGAAACCTTCTGAGATTTCGACAGTTACATACTCTTGTTATACCTTTTTTTTTTATTTCTTAGAAAAATTATGAATATGAACTAAAATATAGTCACGGTGATATTAATAAAGAAACAATTCTATTGTTAATAGAGAAGTATTTTTGAAGTTTTTTCTCGTTATTGTTAAGGAAAGCGAAGCTGGTATGTGGAATTGGAATTTTTTTCAGTTTATTCTAAAATACGCTCTCCAGAACAAAGTTCTAACTATTCTAATACTATTGCCAAAATTGCCATAAGTGTTGATATAGCTATGAGAAGTGTTTTGTAAGTGAAAATTATTAAGAAGTATTTAAGAACTGTAAATGTTTATTCTGCAATTACGAAGAAGGGCGACAACCTCAGGAACCGCTCTGAGCAGATTAAGTTCTCTCTACGCCACTAATTATATACTGTAACGTAAATATTGGGTCATAAATAAAATATGTCGTGTCCTTTTTTTTTTTTTTTTTTTTTTTTGTTTTTTTTTTTTTTTTTTTTTTTTTTTGTCCCTAGATGGTGTTTGTGCCTACATCCGGCAACTCTATCCAATTGTCTGAAACGAACATTGACACTAGATTCCATTGCTGAAAAGTTTTCTATTCGTGCTGTGTAAAAGTTATATTGATTTGAAAATGATCGAAATAGCTAAGAAATCGTTTGTGATGCGTTTTACACAAAAATGAAAAGACCGCAGAAAACTGCCAAAAAATTTGTGATGGGGTGAAGATGCCTGTGATTGAACGAATGCGCCGTGAGTGGTTTGCTTGATTCTGTCGGAAATTCGATCTCAGAGAATGCACCTTGCTTGTCGGTCCGTCACGAAAAGTCGATGAAATTTTGCAGAGCGACCAGAATTGGCCAAAAGAAAGGGAGTTTATACTAAAGGGATACTACTTGTTTTAGACAAATTAAAAGTTCAGGCGGTTCTTCGGCCATTTTTTGATACTGGAACAAATTGACGGAACTTAGTTGGGAGGTTTTGATGCATTCACCATATACCGACCTCCGTACCTTTGAGAGGGAAAGGCCATACCTTAAGACACATGGCGGAGTTTCCGTCCGAGTTTATCGTCGGAAAGTCATCGAATTTTTAAATTTTCGTCGGAAAATAACTTATCATGTTCTATTAATTAAATAGCTGAAAGAAGGGGCTTTAGATAATACACTTTTAACTTTTCAATATATTTTTATTACTTTGTGCATAATGTAATTGAAAGAACCGAAAAACAAACGAACTTTTACAAAAATTTAACTCTGATGAATTCCACTGTAATGTAAATTGGGAAGGGTTTTAAGATAATATAAATTTTCCCTAGGCTCAGTTAATTTATTCGCGTTTCAGAGCAGAATATATAACCTCATCTCTATATCGCCAGCGTATGTAATGAAATACTATATAACTAGCTAATAATATGATTAAAAATAATAACACCTCAATCTAATAGAAAAAAAATCCTTCAACATTCATATTTGAAATGAGATAACGAACAACATTATATTATTATTAGACATATTTAGTTGTTGTGGCAATATTTTAAAAAACACATAAACTATGCAGTGGTTGAAAGTTACCAGAAAATAGTAACAGAACTACTATTTCCAATTAAATAAAAAATCATTTAGTGTTTTTTAAAGAGCAAGCTGTTAAAAGTACAATAATTAGTAGCATTGCTGATAATTTTTAACATCATTTCTTTTGATCATATGTAAAATTATATACACTTGTTCTAGACAATGACAGATTCTCACAGCCATTTTATTCATTTTTTCAAATCCATAACATTCTTTTGGGTACTTTCCCTTGGATACTGCACAGAAATGATTTGAATAATGTACACAGTAGTAAGAACTGCACATTTAAATCTGCTCTTCATAAATAGCACACAATAAAAAGTTTTTTCCCATCATCTTGAATTTTATTGCTATCACAAATCAGTACAAAATTACAATGAAATGAATGTATCAATGTATAATTAAAAAACATATCTTGCAACATTCATAGAGATATTACAAATCAAAGAGAAAATAACAGAACTGCAATTTGCATTAATGTAAATTTAAGTTTTTTTAATATATATGATTTAAAAATGCAAAATTGGAACAATATTTAGTAGTAATGCTGATTTTTTTTTAGCACCATTTTTTTAATCATACCAGTGTATTCCTATTTTTAGTTCTAAATTTTCGGCGCCTGGGAGTAGATTCCTTTTCTGCTATTTTTTTTTTTTGCCGTTGGCATGTGTTGTTAGGGTTACGTCATTCAAATATGATGTGAAGGCTTTTTGTTATAAGATTTAGGTATTTTTCTTGTATGAAATATTTTTATCCCATTTATTAGCTAATTATATTATTTCATACTACGCTGGAGATATAAAGATGATGGTTATATATTCTGCTACGAAACGCGATAAATTAATACTGAGCCTAGGAAAATATAATTATTACTTAGAACCCTTACCAATTATATTACAGTGTCATTTCATCTGCGTTTAAAGTTTGTAACAGTTCGTTTGTTTTCGGTTTTTCATTCATTTATGCACAAGTTCATAAAATCTCTGTAAAAAGTTTCCAAATGTTAATTTATATAAACCCCTTCTTTCAGCCTATTTAATTAACTAAGAACATGATAAAGTTATATTTTCCGACGGAAAATTTAAAAATTCAGATGACTTTCCGACGATAACATCGGACGAAATCTCCGCCGTGTATAGTGTCAGGCCTTCTCCTCTTGAAGGTCGCGGACCTAGCACCGTCTGAAACCATTTCCTTCGGTCTCTTAAACTCTCTTGATGGTAAACAATTGCCGACGAGATCCTCTTAAATCACTCTCCCAGTGTTTCGACGATAACCACAGAATTCTACACCGATGGAATTATGAAGCTACCCGAAAAATGGCAAAGAATCATAGATAATAATCGTCAATATGTACTTGATTTTCAATAAAGAAAATTTTTATTCAAAAATGTGCCAAAAAAGCACGGAGACTTTTTATATCACCCAATATTTATAGATTTCGTATAGTTTGGACGATTTTCTCTCAAAAAACTGGTAGAACTCGCCAATTATATTTTTTTCTTATTTTGTAATGTCAAAATGTAAAGATTCTGTATTTTGTTTCAATGTAATGTAGAAGAAATGTTATTCGTCTTTCGTGTTTGAAGACGCAGATCCTTCTGTTGCGTTATGAGTTTATTATATTCTTTTTTTACTTCCAGAATGCTATATGTCAGTATTTTACCGGCCTTTCACAGTGGAAGCAATTCCTTTGGTCTATCTACCTACAAGCGGTCAACTAGTGCATCCTGATGCTCATCTTTCCTTGTCAGGTATCGCTGAATCACAAAAATTAATCTTTAAAATTTAATAAAAATTTCTTTTGCCGTAGTTATTTTGACCTAATTATTATAGCTACCAATACAAACAGAAACATTCATGCACGCTGTCTCCTGTAGAAATGTGAATACTGAAGCATTTTTAAAACTTTTTTGTGTTGAGGGATTCAACTTGAAACACCGGTGTGTTGTTATGGATTTTTTGCATGAATATTAATGCATATACAGATTGTTTTAAAATTTCTATTTGAAACTTTATTTATGAAAGCTTTAGTGCTATACCTATATGCATCTAATCTAAATGTTTCAGTAAATCAAATTTTAGAAATAAATTTTATGATATTTAAAAAGTAATAACTGTAAAATTAAAAATGTATGATAAAAAAGACATTGTTTCCCAAACCGCTTTAGAATCAAAAATTCAACAACTCCTAAGCAGCCTAGAAATTGTTTTCAGATATATCTCAGCAACTAGAATAATAGCCTAACGGTAGTTACTGTTAAAGCAAACAATAATCTATTTCTTCCTTCTAAGTAAGGTGAATTTGCGGTTTATGTCTTTTAGATCTCATCTTCTAGAAGATACTTATTGAATTTCCGCAGAGAACATCGCTTCTAAAGCAAAGACGAGAGGATTTGTGTTTCAGTTTTTACAGAAGAATGTAGATTCATTTTCGTAGTTATTTTACCTCGTTACAAATGGAAAAGCGAAGACCGAAGTATTTTAGGATAAATGTATTTAGAGCCTACAAATCAGGTGCTCCAGCCTTACGCCTGCGGGCACCATTGCGCCTGCCAATGGTTTTACGTGTGCAAGCTACAGTACGACCATGGGGAAAAAAAATAATAATTTGAGTTCTTTCATTGAGCTGTCAGACAACACCCAGTTCAAGACTGATTCTTATTCGTAATTTTTAAGTGCGTAATTTAGATAGATATATGTATAATTTGTAATTGGAAGGTTGGTTCTAAACCATAACTTTTATACTAAGCAAATTTTTGTACACAATTATTAAAACATGGTTACCCGAAAAAATAAAAAAAAAAAAAAAAAAAACAAAGGAAATTTATAATTGTACGTAATAATATTTGTAATTAATTAAATTTTTTTTTTAAAAAAATTGTTACTTCTAACTTTTTAGGGAGACGTGCAATGCTAATGACTCAATGTTTGGTTAATGAATCAATTTTTTACAATATTTTGTGAGACGGTCCATTTATAGTTCTTTTGGATCGGATATATTAAACCATCGGATATAGCTACCCAAAGTATCTTTTCATTTGCTATAGCAGGATTGGGCTGTACCTAGAAATAAGACTTATTGTACAGTTATGTGAATAAAACGAATCTTTTCGAGTCTTGTGTATTTACGTAGAGTCAACATATTATTGAAATTTTTCTAGAGAACTGTAATGTAAAAAGTGATTAATATCTCTTACTTATACTTCTTTTACACTTTATTTAGGAAGAAGAACCGCAAATGCTGGGTTTCCGAAATGTAAAGCTGCCGTGTCCCAGTACTTAACCAAAGATGGCTGGCGTACTCTGATACGTTCAGATAATGGAGGGGGACCCGTTTTTGGTCTGTTCACAGATGGAAATAAAACTTTTCTTCAGGTATTCACTTAAAGAATGTCTCTCTGATATGTGGTGGTTGTTATTGTTACCAATCTCACTTGTCTGACAATGGTCAGCACAAGCCCACGGCGATCATCGTGGCAACGAGTCAAATGCGCCTGTCGTTGGCAGTGGCCTTGAGCACCATATAGGTAACAGCCTGACTCTAGCTCATCTTAGCTTCATCGACTTAGCTCACTTCTGCCACCAATTTTGAGAAAGAGATTTCCAAGAGGGACGGGTCAAAGGGTCCCCACCCCTCTTTCCCTACCACCAACTTTGTTAAGTAACCTTTATTGTTAGTGCAAAGGGATTTTGTCCTTGAGGGACTATTGTTTTCGTTTTGCAATTTCGCTCACTCTGAATATCCGTTTCACTTTTCAAACTGTTGCCACCCAATATTATCGCCCTGTATTACATTCGAAGCAATAAAATAATGAAGAATCTGCATAAATGAATGTATGTTTCTTGCATTGTGATAAAACAAAACGGTTAACTAGCCATCCAATTTGAATGAAGTAATCCTACTGCGAATATGGGCATCTGGAAGCCCAAATTTGAGATTTGGAATTTGTTTTATTATCGATTTCATATTTTGTAAAACTTTAACGAATTTTAAGTAACAACTCAAGGTTTCAAGCGGCCATGGCAACGTTTGTACAGAAAAACATTTTTATCTCAGCTCGTGAGAGGGTATCGGAATTCCGATATGCTCAGTTTAAAATTATTTTGCGGTATTGCTCTTGAAATGGATTTTATGGTTTAAGTGCAAAGAACATGATATTTAATAAATAAAGGGGACACACAAAGCGTTAAAAGAACCCCCCTTTGGGTGTCATTTAAAATCTGAAACCTTTCAGATTTTCTTTTTTTACCATATTTTTTAAAGTTAATCATTTTTCCTTCTTAGCGAGTTCGGCAAAAAAACACATACGGTAACAATTATATTAAATAAGATTTTGTTGCTAACCAAAAAGAAATGGTGTTGACCAGCCGCAACGTGTTATTTGTTATGAAGTATTGAGCAATGATGCTGTGAGACCATCTAGTCTGGATCGACATTTGTCGACAAAATATTGCGCCTTAAAAGACCAACTGAAAGATTTTTTTTGGTGCAAAAGTGCAAATTTGATATGTCTGAAATTTAATAATATTTTATCCTTTATCCAGTCGTCTGAAAAAGCGCTTGAATCAGCGTATAAGTTACCCCTACTCATCGCAAAATCCAAGTCATATTATCAGAGAAACTTCGTCAAACCTTGCCTGTTGAAAGCAGCTGATATTGTTCTTGGACTAGAAAGTAAACAAAATCTTTCAGAAAAACCACTTTCTGATAACGCTGCGAAATGTCCCGTTGATTTTATGACTGAGGACATACGAAATTAGTTAGTGCAGGCAGGGAAAAATCAAATTTTTTCGCAATACAGTTAGACGAGAGTAGAAATGTTGCAAAAATATTGTCAACTGTTAATTTTTATTCGGTTCACACAAAATCAAACCACCAACCTCAAAAGAGGACTTTCGACTCGCCACATACTTCAAGTTTTCCCATGCCGCATAAACACTCATCACGTTTACAAACATCCATGCCCTCTTTAGGATTCTGCAATCAGCGACGCTAACCGCTACCCCGGTCGGCTGGTTCTCTAATATGTGTTTAGTGCGTTTCAGAAGGAAATGGTTCAGAATATCATGTTTCCAAAATTTAACATATTCATACTGATGAATAGCAAGATGAAATATAGAATAATATTTAAATGTATGATTTCATATTGCTAACTCATAAACTTATTTGCATAAATTATAAATTGAAAATATTTCTTGTTTAACGAATTTTTTGTGTTGCTTTTAGATTAGGATTCTAGGTAATAAAACTACGTGAAAATATACATAGCGTATATCTAATTTTTCATAATTTATAAATTATTTATGTGAACTATTTTTGGCATACGAGTCGTATCAAAATACTAAATTAAAGAAGATTATTCTCTAGTAAATCACAAAAGAATATCATTGAATGTGGACATCTTTTGACTTCCTTGTACAACCTATAAAATTATACACACTTTTTGTTGCACTTCATTTAAATTTATTTCTTCGAATTTCATTCTCATTTCGCAGCAAGGCAAAAATACATAAAAGGTCAAAACATCTTCATTAAAAATTGTAAAATACGAAACAAAAATATGCTAAATACAGTTTAAAGTTACATACAGAACAGTTTAAAGAACAATTTTTACAGTTAAAATTAGTTTCTACAGAAAAACAAGCAATTCAGCCAGCGGGCAGAAAGACTACTGAAGCAACAACTGGTGCACAAAAAAACTGAAAGTTAACTTTGGTTCCACTAAGCAAATAGACTGGAAACTTGGTGCACCAACTGACTTAATTCAATGTTCTGCTACGAGTTTGAAATGTAAACAAATAGATGCCACGTTAGGCCTAGCCCCGTGTAAACTTTGAAATTATTAATAATTCTACAACTATTGCAAGCAGATTAACTAAAGGCATTAAACTTTAACTGGAACATAAGAAAAATATAATTCAATCACTTTTTACCCTTTCGCCGTCCTCTCCTGTCCCCGAAAATCCCCCCCCCATTCCGAATATTCATGAAAGCTGGGGCAAATTCAATTAGAAATAAAATGCCTGATTAGTGCTAACCTCTAGGAGGTATTAGAACAAACAAAAATAAAAACTCAAACAAGTAAACATTTAGAAAGCGTTTTAAACCTTTAAAAGTTTTAAAATGTAGAAGAACGCTTGAGGAGCGTTACGGCCACCCTGCGGAAGTTTAACTTGAACGCGCTAGACGCGTTACAGGCGACGAAGAAGTTAAAGCAAAAAATGTACATTTTACCAACATGTAAGAATAAAAAACTGAGTTCACCGAACACGGTAACTTGGTGCGCTTGGTGCGGCCGATCGCGTCCAAAAAGGGAAGTGCACAACTGCATGTTATAGCAGTTCCATACACAGAATTTCACTTTCTAAAAACTTGTTTTTGAGTTATGCGAAATATATACGCAAGTACGTAAAACGCCCCCCCCCCAAAAAAAAACCCTTCTGAATCCATTTTAAATCTACTTTGCAATCTAATTTGAAAAGAAGATTCCTTTATTCTGTCCATATGTACAGATGTTACGGAAAAATCTCTTCTGAACCCATTTTAAATCCATTTTACAATCCGTTTTGGTAAAAAGAGCCATTTAGTCTTTCCAAACGTACAGATGTCTCGCAAAAACATCGTTGAAATGGATTCGAGAGCGGTCAAAATGAATATTTTGGTTGACATATAATACCCGAAATTTACCGCGATTATAGTACTTCCTTTACTTCGGACAAAGTAAAAAGAGAGCGAGTAAATACGGTAATCTTGCTAGGCAAACAATAAGTGGTGATTAAAACAGGGAGAATAATTACATGAAAAAATATTGTTAGTACATATATAAATTTGATACATCGAACTGTGTTTCTTCATTCCTACTCCTCTTTGGAAGCTCTTGGAAATTTAAACCATTTTTTTGGCATATGATGTAGTGACAATGGCGTAAAACTCACTCAGTAAAGCATCAGATGAAAAAAACGGTGCTTTATTTAACATTAATTATAATTTATTATGTAAATTATGTTTTATAATGGTTTTGAATTATTTTTTATATCTTTTACAGTTCCTGGGCAGTACGCAAGATCGCAGGCTTCTTCAACAACATATGGCTCTGGTTCGACTCTTCTGCAAAATACCAGATTATTCTCCATTCGAAACTTGCGTGGCATTTCGAGTTGGATGGGTCCCCGGTAAAAGTTTTCTTTTTGTAATCCATGAATTACATAGCAAAAATTATAAACATTCTTTTTTAAAATTCAGACCTCTTAACTACGTTAAAACAGGTTTCCATGCTTACTAAATTGAAAACAAGTTTGGAAATGAATTGATTTTAAAAAACTGATTAAGAAATGATCTGAAATATATATATATTTTTAATTTTCCTGAAATGTGATGATGATGAAAGTCTTTTGGGAAAAAGTGTTTTTAAAGACAAAGACTTGAAGTGTTGTATTTTTTTTTTTTTTTTTCTGAAAAATATATAGATACTACGATACTAAAAAGATTCACTTGCTTTCGAAATACAGAGCGATTCAGAAGTCCCCGAATTCTCCCTATTCTAAATATTATTTACTGTAGTAATAGAAAATAGTTGTAAGTATTTTTATTTTTGAAAGAAAATGTATGTGACCGTCTGTGAAGTTTCAGTGTATAGTAGAGGTAGAAAGCCAAACACATTAAGTGAACGATAGAAAGGAAAGATTGTCAATATGCACTGAGTCTCACACAAGAGCAGAGGTTTGCCCTGATTATACGCGTGAGTCATAGACAAACGTCATAGACAGTCATCTATAATCTTAGACGGCACACTGAAGAAATCGATGATTCTAAATGGTTCCGTGGTGAGATTTCATCACGACGCTTTAAATAAGGTGTACTGTGTTATAAGCGTGTTAGATGTTGGAAAACATCGGAACAGCATCATAAACAGCCATCCATGATACCATGGGTAACACCAAGCAGTGTATGGACATCATGAACTGCAAGAACCTAGAAACTTCACTATGATACTTTGAACAAGACTTCCTGTGCTGTTAAAAATTTAAAGACCTGATAAAAACGTCGTAAATAACTATCAGTGATAGCCCAAGCAATATTGGGTGGTGCTTGGGTTATCATTGAATGGCTGTTTATGATAGATGGCTGGTACCAATGGCGAGAAATTTCGCCACAATACTTTTGCACAAGTTAAAAATGTGCTTAAGAACGTTAGATATTGGAAGACTTGTAGCCTCATAAATAGCCATCCATAATATCACAAGGAACTGTGGGCTCTGCCCGGGTTATCGCGGAATGGCCTTAACTGGGGGCAAGTTGACCATGACCTTTTGAATAAAATTTGCAATGCAGTATAAGCGTATCGGAAGACCTTCGGAATAGCGTAATGAACAGCCGTCTGTTGTATGCTGGGTAACATGGAAGAAATGGGTGTCTGGAATGTATCATGAGTGGCTGGTGCAAGCGACGAGAAGCTTTACTACGACACTTTTGAACAAGATTTGCTGTATAAGTATATTAGATATTGGGAACTTCCATCCATGATATCCTAGGCTACATTTTTACCAAACTGGCAAAAAATCTGACCAGAACACTTTGAACAACGTGTGGTCTTGAGGATTTGTATATTAAACATAGAGATAATTTCTAACATCTTCTGTAAACATATACCTTTTCAGTCTTGTTGTAATTCTACAAGTTAATATTGTACACCTAAAAAATCAAATGTGAAATGAAAATGTACCGATTTTAGATTCATTAACACAATTTATTTTTTAAAATAATTCCAATCCAGAAAATCCAGATGAGGTAAGTACAGTAAAAAAAGCAACAAAGAGAATTTAGTAATTCGATATGAGACACAAGTTTTACTAGGTTGTCAACCTTCAAATTTCTTTAACAAATATTTGGAAGGGCTAAGTACTCCATCCTGTAAGTTCTACTTCAGCAATATGGAAAATTTTGCAGTCCAAGAAAATTAAACAAAAAGTGTGAGAAGACAGCAGACGAATTCGATGATACTGAAATCCAAGATGAATAGAAGATACTGCAAGAGGAAAGTTGACTCAAATTAGCAAAAACACACACGCACACATCTAAAACAAAAAATGAAACAGCTCTTTTGATGTTGACCCAAATGTTTTAAAAAATAACTTATATAATCTTCTTGAAAAAGTTTCCAATATGCATTCAAAACATCTGCGATATATTTATTAAACGTCTCCTTTATTTCTCATAACAAAGTAAATTTTAAAGATTAAATTGATCTAGTGTAATATTTTAAATATACGCACGGAAATTAGACTTATTAGGACTGTACTATCTTTAACAGGTTAAGAAGTATTAAATTAATATGATTCATTATATTGAGTGTTCAAAAAGAGGCCGCTACAAGCTCTATTTCCTTAAAAATTGGTCATAAATATGTAGAACATTTACAGAAACTCCAGTTTCATAGAAAATTTTATTTATTTTTATTAGATATAGAACAATAGTAGTCCACATACACTGATTATTTTAATTCATTTTTAATATATTCCAGTTTTATCATAGGAGGTCTACAACATGACGTACTACAATAAATAATACTGCTACGTACTGCGTTCGTAATGGACTGAATGCATCCAGAACCGATGAAAGATGTGGCGTTTATGATTGATGACGTTTACTTTCTCAAACACACTTTGTACTTTTGTATTACTTTACAGCTCTGGAACTGTAATCAGAACAGCTATCAGAGCTGTATGAGAAAGTACTCACACAGCTATCAGAGCACATTAACGGTTACCTCTTCAAACTGCTAAGAACGTTGAACACAAACAAAGTAATAATAAATAATAAAGCACAATAATATCTCAGTCCGCTGAACTTTCAGTACTCTGAGCTAAACTGAAATTTGAATTCTCTTCTTATATATATAGTTTTCCTTCGTTCGCCAAGAAATTTTTGAAATTGCTGGAAGGCATACATAGGTAGAGTTACATAGGGCCGGACACAGTTACAGTTATATAGGGATCGGACCCAAATGTCGCCAAATGATCTCGAAATTGGCGACTTTAGGCCAAACTTGGCAATGGTTTTGGCCAAACTTCGTCTCCAAAATCGGCGACAAATTTTTTTTTTGCCAAAACCTTCGCCACATTTACATCAATGTTAAATGAACTTACCGATGTAACCTTATTTTTCCGGCGGTGCTTCGTCTCCTGATACTAGAGATATACTACAGATATTTCACTAAAATTATTTACATATGTACAGAATTTGTAACAATTTTTATTTTATTTTATTTTATTTTTTTTTTTTAGGAATAGATTCAGTGGAAGACACAGAAACACCATCCCATAAAGCCAACATGATGGTTGTAGGGCTGTCATTAGGAGTTCTTGGATTAGTCTACGTGTTTGCTGTTTTGGTATACCTGAAGATACGGCGACAGCTAATCACCAAACAGAAAACCACTAATGACCAAGAAGCAAAACTGCAATCAAGCGAAGAAAATCCAGATGAGGTAAGTACAGTAAAAAAAACAACAAAGAGAGTTTAGTAATTCGATATGAGACACAAGTTTTACTAGGTTGTCAACCTTCAAATTTCTTTAACAAATATTTGGAAGGGCTAAGTACTCCATCCTGTAAGTTCTACTTCAGCAATATGGAAAATTTTGCAGTCCAAGAAAATTAAACAAAAAGTGTGAGAAGACAGCAGACGAATTTGATGATACTGAAATCCAAGATGAATAGAAGATACTGCAAGAGGAAAGTTGACTCAAATTAGCAAAAACACACACGCACACATCTAAAACAAAAATGAAACAGCTCTTTTGATGTTGACCCAAATGTAGCAATTATTAGTCCGGATTTGTTTATTTAATTGAAATGTTCAGTATTTTTCTTTTATTAAATTTTAATAATTTGTTAAATAGGAGTAAAATGTTCGTAATGCCTTTCCCCTTAGATTTTTGTCTGAGAAACCGAAAAAAGGCATTAAATCTAAGAAATCGTTAAATCGGTTATATAAAGATTCGATTGTGCATAGTCTAGACAGAAGAGAAAAAAGCCCATTATAAGCCATAAAATTATTTAGCAACAACTTTGTGTCTGTCAGTATCGAAGTCTATAAAGAACACGAATTTTATATTCAAAAAAGCGAAATTGAGGCTTTGATAGGTAATCATTGTTGGAAATTTTATCATAATTTTGACTCTGAAGTTTCGAAAATTTTCTAAAAAGCTTTTTCCTCTGGCGAATTGGATTTTCTTGAAGCTGCTAATATTCACGAAGATTCGTGTTTAATTAATGACTTTAATTCCAATCCAGTCCTTCCTAACGCTTAAAATTCTATTAACTTAATTTTTCAAGTTTCGTTACTATTTCTGCTGACAGATGGAGCTACCTTCTCGTTCAGTTTACATAAAATAAATACAGTCGTGGCTTTCCCTTCGTTGTGTATTTACCAAGTTTTGCTCATGTATTGATTCTCGCCTCCGGGCGTGGTGTATTTAATAACACACACCTCTTGCTTAAAAAATTTTAATGCCCTCTGGTACAGTAGCTGAAGCCAGAAGTAAAGATATGATCCAAGATCTTTCGCTGCAGATTTCTTTGCTCCTGATGACCTTGCTCCTTTGACCTGTTTGCTATCGAAATCGGTTATTCTTGACTAGAATCTACGCCGAAAACAAGGTTCTAGCTTTGCTAATTTTAAATCGGTTATTCTTGACTAGAATCTACGCCGAAAACAAGGTTCTAGCTTTGCTAATTTTATTTATATAGTATATTCACCACGTGAAGAAATTTGACCTCGCCTGTTAGAAAGGGAAGTTCATTTCATTAAGGGGAGATTCACAATGAAGCTTAACAAGGCCACGAATAAACAAATATGAAGCAATTAAAAACTGAACAGGAATCAAATCATTTACTGACCAAACCAGAACCAGCTTACATTTTATTTGAATGCATAGCTTTAATTGAACTCAGTGCTAATAGATGAGAAAACTCGATTTAGCCTAAATTGTAATGAGGTGGAAAGCTACGTTGCAAAATTTGCAGCAGATATTTTGGAGTTTCACACAGTTTCATATCGCCTAAAGACGTATTTTATTGAAATATGGCTTTCAACAAAGCGATTTTGTTGGAAATAAAGCAGATTCACGAACATTTCCATCTGCCTAAAATTAATTTATGATAATTGTATCTGCCTTATAGGAGAACGGTCATCGTATCATTCAAAATCCACAAGTTCATTGTTCACACTGCAAATTCGAATGCTCGACTCCGCAAATTCACTGTTCCAAGTGGAGCCCACCAACTGCTAAGCGTTAAAATCGCTGAACACTGGTGGTTCCGATCTGGGTTCGAATCCTGGCGAACGGGCTGGCTGCATGGGCGTTTTCGTGGTTTTCCTCATGGTAGCGTATGTACAAGTTAGTTTCCCTTAAAAAATCATCCGCGAAGGCATCCGTCCCTCTAGGCAGATAGCCTTTGTGTGCTTTGCCATTACAAACTAAACCAAACCAATATTCCAAATGTTCCACTCCGCAAATTCAATGTTCACACTCCATAAATTCAGTATTCTAAAAGGTTATTTGCCTAAGGGGGAGGGATCCGCTCATGGAGAACTTTCTAAGGAAAACTCGCGCGTATCTACGTTACACTTGTCAAAAACCACGTAAACGCCTATCGAGCCATCCTATTTGCTGAAATCGAATCAAAGCCGAATTATCAATGTCAAGCGACTTTACCGCTTCGCCGGTGGTAGGTTCTAAAGCATGAATAAAATCCGTGGTTGAGTTAACTGGTAAATCGGAGCATTGAGAAATTTGTAATAGATTTTAGTGAAAATACTATTAAGGAACAACCGAGATCTTAGAACTTCATTAAATATTTCTAAAATAAATAATAGTAACAATTTTTTTAACAATATATATCGCATGCTGCAATGATGAGTTTTTTAAATATATGCAGCGTGGAACAAACATTTAGATAGTTTGAAGTTTGATAAAGTTAATAATTATCTCAACACCTGCTGAAATTAAAGGCTTCTTTCTGTAATACACATTTATTTTTCTCATTCTATACTTTTAGATTTTTATTACTTTTACACGCTTCTAAAGAAAAATTCTTATAATAACCCATCAAAGAAAATAAAAACTTTTATTCTATAAACCATTTCATACAACATTCTGACACCTTTCCCTCGTAACGTTATTAGTATGAGGAAAATACTGGAATAAGAACCCAAATGTGCATTTATATATAGAGTTCATTTTTTTTCATATTTTATTCTATTTGTTTTAAATAGTACAATGTTGATACTTTTTCCAGGAAATTAACAAGCATTTTTTATTTAGGCTGCAACTCATCATCGAATCGAAAGCTCAAAGCGACTTGAAATGTACCACACGAGTTCACTGGGTAGACAGAAGTCGGGAACATTCGCCAGCAGACTCCGCCATGACCCATGGGCCCAGATGTCGCCAATTGTGGAAACCTATAACCGAACTTGGACAGACAGAATGGGACAACATGGTTGCGAGTTTCGAGCCCAAGATTTCAAGCTGCAACCGGAGTTTTTTGATCCAGAGTTCATGGCATCTCCACCTCAACAAGTGTTAGATTATCTTGAGCGTCTTCAGAATTCAGTAACTTTTGCGCGTCATCGCTTGCGCAGCTGTTATCGTTACCAACCAACTTTAATCGATATCCCAGAAGACGATTATTATTACCAAGAACAGGAGAGCAAGAAATCGCAGTCTAAAGAAGTACGAAGAACACCGGATGGAGGCTCAGCTTCATCAATGGGTTCATTGATAGAATATGAACAAAAGGACAATATAGAGAAATTAGAAGCTCCTAAAATTCCACCAAGAAAGCCAAAACGCAAAGCACCGAAAGATCCCCAAAGTGAACCAAAACAGAACTCTGAGCAAGAGCAGAAAGATATCCAGAATGCAATGAATACATTAAACGATACACTTGATGCCTTAGAATTCGATATTTACAATCAAGATATGTTACAGCCGTCGTCTGAATGTGAGCAAGTAAGTGTGAGTGCACCAAACTCCAATAATATAGACACGGACGATTTCGATTCTTCGTCTTGTAGTTCTCTATCCGCAGTTACAGTTTTAGGCAAACCTGCAAAGAAACAAGCCGATTTGATATCAAACGGAAGTTTAAGTGTTGAGAACAATTTGTCCGAAGAATTTAGTACGTTTAGCAATTCGACATTTAATATGAACGAAAGCATGGCTGGTCTGTTTCACGATGGCAATAAAGTGGATAGTGTAGAAAAGTCAACTGAAAACTGTGACAATCCTACTGTAGAAAACGAAATAGTTGAACAAAATGATAATGAAGCCCAAACAGAACAAAATTCCAAAGAAGACAAAGGAACTAACACTCATTCAGATAAGTGCCATGATAATGGCTGTTGTCCTGCTGTTATTGTTTCCGTAGACGAAAAGCATGAAAATGGCGATGGAGAAGAAGCAATCCCAAATGGGCATATGCTCTGCAAGTCATCGTCAAATGAAAGTATGACAACAATTTCAACAGAAATGACAACAGATTCTTTGGATTCTCGACCATCATCGCCAAATCATCCAAGTCCCACGCCAAGCTTGGTAGAAATGTGGATCAATAGGCTGGTTCAGAATTCAGTTCCTTACTCCAGAACACGTCGGAAATGCAAGAAACTTGCACTCCCTGAAGATGAAATCGAGAACTGGGAGCATGTGTGTCAGAAACACAAGGACTCTTGTCCTATGCACGACTTAAATGACTCAGAACCAAACATAATAGACAAATTAGCACATTATGGATCAAAAACAATGGCCGGCTGTGATGTCGCAGGATATTTCCAGTCTTTAAAACAAGATGTCTTGAAAGAACATTTAAAATCATGGCTTCACTCTAATAGTCAATCTAAACGACAAAAAGGATTTTCGATAAATTACAACGGGAATGAAAACTCGCATAAACGACCTCTTGTACCGAATGGTCATGACCCAAAATTGCTAAATGAGAATGGGTTAAATGCAGCTTGGTCTACCTTCAGTGCCTTGAATGGTACTGAAACTCCCTTAGCATCATATAAAGACGCGAACTGTGCGAATCAAAATTCAGTAACTTCTGACATCAGTGACTCTTTGGAACAAAACTCAAGTGATGCAAATGTTTTCAATGGTACTCATGAGTAAAAGGATATATGAATCAGAACTTCAGTTACGAAGAGTTGTGAAAATTTTATTTTTGAAAACAAAATCATAGATTTTATAAAATCTACGAACAAATTTTCTAATGTTATGTAATGTTTAAAATATCCAATTTTCTTTAATAATTTTTTTTTTATTTATTGTAGTTCAACGCAAAATAATAAGTAACAGAAACGATACAAAGAGCAAAATACAAACAAGTAACAAGAGCCTACATAAAACAATTATTAAATTTTTTCCGTGTTCACAAAGGGTTTTAATATGGGGTTATGAAGTATTTTAAAGATGGCTGAGTCTCTTTTAACTCCATAAAAATAGTTGGAGGCTCGGTGGCGCAGTAGCTAGCGCGTCGCACAGCAGCACCGCAAGTTCGGGGTTGGATCCCCGGGTTGCACATAAGCATTCCGTTCCGCGCCACGCGCATAAGAAAAAATCCCTACTTGTGATTGGACATTCTTTCCGGTGACATAATTTTCTCTCGCGTAATGACGTTTAGACGGGATTCTTGCGGTTTTGTTTTCGATGAATGACAAGGAAGAGTAAAAATTATCGTTTGTTTTCTTTGAAACGAAAAAAATTAGCTGCAGCCTTCTGAAGGAATTATAAAATGTTAAAATCTTTCAAAGATGCTGTCAATATCAGGAGCAAACTTAATGTTACGACAAAGTTAAAGATGCTGTCAATATCAGGAGCAAGCTTAATGTTACGACAAAGTTAAAGATGCTGTCAATATCAGGAGCAACTTAATGTTACGACAAAGTTAAAGATGCTGTCAATATCAGGAGCAAACTTAAGCGTTCATTTATCGCGCAAGTATATTACGTTACTATTATTATTACGATTATTGCAATTTTGTTACATTTTATTACTTTCACATTGCAGAAAATATTTCCTTTGCAAATGTTACGTTATTTCCATGTTAATGTCCATGTCATTTCTAATCTTCTATTGCCTTAAATGAAAGAAATATGTGCATTTAGTATCTTCGCTGAATTTAACACACGTGTATAAAAAGAAACGAAATTTTTCTGACAAACACTATTTTTATGCAAAGGTAGAAAAGATGTTACACATTAAAAAAGGGGCAATATTCATAATATAACATTATTAAATTTAAAATAAGTATCTCTGTTTCAAATCTATATTAGTTTAACTTCAGAAATAAATTTTGTGAATTTACTCTGTACTGTGTTAGCTCCCAACGTCGTTTTTCCTGTTTCCCAAAAGTGATTTGTCTCATGCTTTCGAAGATTGCATCTGCAGAGAATGGACATATAATGAACATGAAATAATGAATTAATAATCTCAGTGCTTTTAAAATGAAGGGTTTTAAACTAATACATTCATTAAAAATCTCTGCACTTAATACACATTTACGAAGTTAGCACAAGAAGAAATCATATTTTTTTTCCTTTGGGGGAAAACATTTTTTATATTAAACTTACCACACTACAGCGTCGTAAGTGTAATCTCGTAGCGACAAAAATACAACGCACGTAATAATCTTTTCTGTACTGTTATCAAAATGTTAACAAAGGGTATGGAGGTGTACCCTCGAGCCTAGGAAAAGTCAAGACGTTCCTAAGCGCAGAGGAAATGACGTCATCGGAAGCCATATCCCATCACGAGGAGGGATTTTTCCACATGTGCGTGGCGCGGTACAGAATTCTTATATGCCCAGGGCTTGGCAAGGTTGATTCAGCCTTTCGTCCATTGAGAGAGTCGATAAAATGATTACCAAGTTCTCTTGGGGACTAAATACCGCGGGGAGGGGGGGCATGCGACAAGCTGATCACTTTCCCAGGACATATGCTCATGCCTTGTAGGGCCCGGGATCAGAAAAGCATATTTCGGGGCACTGCAGGCCATGGCCCACTAGGGCTACAGCGCCTTTGAGTTCAGTTTATAAAAATAGTCGAATACTTTAACTTTCATAATAATACTTTTATAATTTTTTTAACTAAAAACTCTAGAAATTGAATATTTTGATCCTAGAGACAAAGATACAAGTAAAAAAATCTACTCTTGCCCTTGTTTTGGTGGTGGGCGCACTGGGAAACCACCGCGCGTCTAGAACTTTGAAACTTACTAAGTAGTCGGAAAAAAAAAACTGCCTTTTTCAATGCGCGTTTCCAAAAAAAAAAGACGAAATTTCAAATTAAACAAAATTCATGTAAGATTGCATAATATATTATTTCTTCATTATTTTAAACTAATCGTCAGAAAAAATTAAAAATAAACTTTATATAGTTTTTCTATCGCAGTGAAGTATAGTACCTCCATATAGACGTTTGGCTACAGGATTCAAAAACTCAGTAAATAAGGATAAAACGGACTTTTTTTTTTTTTTTTTTTAAATTTCAAAACAAATTTTTTTGTACAGTTCAAACATCTTGTCTTTTGGACATGCTAAACCACATTGTACGTTCGCACGTGTGTCTTCTTCTATGATGTTTCTTCCTTGTGCTACAAAATGTACACTTATTGGTTCTAAATTTCACTGGTACATGTCCAGCGTTATTTAGTTTCTTTTCATCTGGTACAAGGAATTTGTGTTTTTTTTATGTTAATGGGGGGGCTTGGTCTTTTTGGCTTAGGTATGGTACTTCATTTCCCATTAATACTTATTTCATTCGTACTTCATCTCCAAATATTAAGAAAATATTTTTAATTTCAATTAAAAATTTATACGATTTCTATTTTTAATTACAGCAAAGTATATTTACTTTCAATTTAAACCACAGGAAATAATTTATGAAATCACAATATTAGCTTGGGGAGCAAGTGTGTTGAGGTCAGAGAAAAGTCTCTGGAAAAAAAGACCTTTTTACATGCAGTGCACTATTGTTTAGTATAAAATTACTCTTAATAACTAATTTCAAACCCCTTATATATATCCGGTAAATACATTCCTATTTGAGAAGGCACGCCATGGGAAGAGCAGTGATTTCAAGGCGCTACACCGTCCTTTTGTATTGCAGCGCACAATGCTCTAGTGGGGCGGTGGTCCGCGCTGAAACAAAGAAAATGCCATACATAGAGGGTTTTATTTTATAAATGCAGTTTAATTATTGCTAGTTTTTATTGTTTATGATAGAATCATGATGTGCGATGATACTTTTTTGAAATTAAAGTTGTTTATTAATAAAAGGAAGTATTTTGTTCATTGAAACGAATTTTAAAAGAGATCCGATTGAAGTACTAAGACCTAAAACATTATGATTCGTAGTCATTTCGTGTTATTAGAGTTAAAAGATCAGTAATCAATTGATTTTCACTCAAAAATTTCGGAAGGAAGAGGAGAAAAAAATTCGAAAATTGGTGGTTTCAGGGCGCAACCACCGCGCGTCAAAGGGTTAAAAGTTCTAATTTCATTTGAACTGATTTATTCATTTGAACTGGTAGTGCATATTATTATCAATTTGAGTTGACAAACCTCAGTGTTTTAGTACATTATGAAGGATATAGGCATGCAGACTTAGGAGTCGGGCAATCAGTAACCCTAAATCATTGTTGCAATTCGCTAATGCATTAGCAAGTCTTTATTAGAGGTAGCTTTGTAACAGACGCATCTTTTGTATTGCAGCGAAATAGTAATAGTCGGCGGAACTTAAGGCAAGACAGTTGGATAATACAATAATTTCAGTAGTAAGATTAACGCGCAAGTTAAGGCTTACTTTGACACGATTCCACAGGAAAATGTCAAGACGCGTGGTAGAAACCATCCTGTACTGTATCGAAGAGTGCATCCTTGTAGAGGGAGGACTTTTAAAAGGCTATTACTTTCAAAGTTCACCGATGTCTTATCCATATTATGCACTGAAGCAAACACTTATCTCTATACTGTTATTTCGCAAACGCATCAACTTGCTACAAGCACTTGCCATATTTCTGTTATTTGAAATATAGTATATGTGTTACCTTACAGTATATTATCTCTAAACTGCGGTATTTTATGCATTCTGAGCGAAGCTACAGATTACAGCAACTAACTACTGATGTACTTTCATTGCTTATTTAACATTAACTTTTCTGGAGGTTCCACAAAACAATTATACTTCAAGGGAGTCAACAAAAGTAGCTGCCATCACCTTAAACTTTAACCGAGTTATTAATAGCTACAAAATTTGAAAATAACTTTTCTATAACGCCCGAATTGGATAACGATAGAACCATTAGTCTTGCAGAGGAACCAAGCTCAGTTCACAACATAATTCTGACGGTGGCGCCTGTTCAAACTTTCACAAAACTGGTTGATTAAACAAAGATTGCGAAGGCTGTGCCTTTCTGGAAATTGACTAATATTGTATCCCTAATATTAATACTCAAAGAACATACCTTGCATCAGCATTTGTAGGAAATTCTCCGATTTTTATCTTTAGGTTCATCAGAAAGTTATTGCATGGGCTTGAATTTCCTTCAGAAAGAACCTGGCAGATATCTTCTACCAGAAGATACCTGTATCCGATCACTTTCGAAATTAACAGTTATAAAAAACCCCGAGATAAACTAAAGGTTGCTTTCGCCAGATTTGCAACGGTTAATTAAAACACCAGGCAATTTGTTGACTAAAACCCTTGGTTGGTGATATTTCAGTTACTTGGAAATTTGTTTTTGACCTCAACTCGATATTTTAGTTTTAAATATTTCGATAATATTAACCAAAATGTTGATCACCATAGTATTTTTTATGTTTTCACGCACAAACTGAAGGAATTTCTCATATTTGATAACGGTATCCGAATATTATTCGGGATCACAGTCTACTAGTACAGAAATATAAGTTGGTACAGAAATTAACGATACGATTTTAGAATACCAATATCGATCATTATAAAATACTTGTGCTTGAGATAACAGGAAGTGGAAGAGGTAATAAATGATCTGAATCGAAATGAAAATCTTTCAAGCGGGATTGAAAAGTTATGTGAAAGGCTGAAACCTTGAAATTTATAGAATTATAATCAAAGTAAAAGAAACCCATAGTACAAGGTTCAATTTATTTCACTTTGAAAACTTGCGCTTCCTTTTGCAAATCATCAAACTGGAATATCGTAAACTCCGCTAGTGATATCGGAATAATTTCCGACGTGGCGATTTACTGAACGACTGACTAACTTACTGGATTACAATAAAGTGCAGTAGAACCATGTGCTTAAGCGAAAGAAACTGCCGCAAATTCTCGTTACACATGGCTCAAGGGACGACTCTTCCTAGTTTTCGCGTTTTTCACAGAGTTACGTGGCCGAGTACTTTATGACTTGGCTACTGGCGTGTCCATTTAATTATGATAAATACACTGGGGCCCAATTTGCCTTTCGGGACGGGTACCTCATTGCAAAATTAAGGGAAACCAGTTCGTATTTACTTCATATTCGAGAATCTGAAACAAACATATGCAGGTAAGTCGTTCATGCGCTGCGATCAAGAGTCTGTTCACCATTCATTGTTTCTTCGCTATTGCTAAAATGAGTCAAAAGAAACTGGCAAAGTATCAGAGACGAAACTAAATTTTTCGACCTCTTGAAGGAATTACGCACAAACGTCATGCATTTTCATTTAAACAAAAGAAAACTTCAAACAGAGCCTCAGTGGCGCAGTGGCTAGCGTGTCGTCCAGCAGAACCATAGATCATTCCTTGCCACGATGAATTGTGTGGGCTTGTGCTGACGTTACTTTCAGGCAAGTGAGATAAGTCACACCAGCTTCTCACTCCTGAAGCATAAACACTTATCAAGAAGAGTTCGGTGGTTTCACAGCTTCAGAAGGTCAACCACAAGGCGGCCCAAAAACATACGTACATAAGAAACCTCGAATAAGATTTCCTTTCCTGGTAGATGGGTTGTAACTGTTTCAATTACATAACCGCTACAGTCATCTGACAAATTCGATGGGCTTTCTCTTCTGTAACTGATGTTTACAAAGTATATGCTACAAATATTGAAGACCTCCATGATTAACAAGCGTGTCCTAGGGAATTAAATATGAAACGGACTATCTTAATATTCTCAATTATCATAAAAGAGTCATGCGTCATTCGCATGCGACATTTCAGTCATGCGACATTTCATGAGTCATGCTCATTCTGTCATCAGAGTCATAGTCACAAATGGATACTAGACAATACTGTACCATTTCATTTCGTTCATCAGGAAACCACAGAATGAGCAGCTGATTCGTTTGAAAGATGACCTTTTACACTCATTTACCGCCTTTATTAAAAACATTTCTTTGGATACAAAATTTTATATAGTGGTGATATAATTAAATAAAATTTTAACAAATATAACAAATAATGTTAGGTAAGTTTTACATTTCTATCACCACTATTACATTTTCATCGCTATTACCACTATATAAAATGTTGTATCGAAACAAATTATTTTAAATAAAAGCCGCTAAATTTACCGCTTTTAATATAACAACGTTAGAATTTTACACTTTACAAAGAACGTTACACTGTTACGAAGAATGTTACATTTTCGAGACATTTCTGTGCAGTGTAAAATTTTGTTACAGGTACCACATACATGTTATGAAGGATTTTGACACTAAAAGTTTTGACAAATTAAAGCACTTTTTAGAATATTTTACCAAGAGTAAGGAAAAGTTGATGAAGCAGAATTGTTAGTGGATACTTTTGACATAAGGTACGAGATTCTGAAAAGATTTTACAATTCTGAGAAAGTATTTTGCAAATTCTGAGAAAATTCAACAATTTGGAGAAATTATTTAACAAAATTAAATACCATTATAAAAATGGAAATAAGATAAACTAATGGAATATTGCTAAAGTAAATCATTCAGATTATAAGACTGTCAGACAAGTGAGATAAGTCACTAACTCCAGAAGCAGAAACACCCATCAAGACGAGTACGTTGAACGATCGTTTCACAGCTTCAAAGGGTCAACCACGACCAAACCAAAACGAGGCATAAGAAACATTGAATGAAATTTCCTTTCCTGGTAGGTGGGTTGGAGCTGTTTCAATTAACCTTCAATTAATGGGGAAAAGATAAGCCACTTTCATGACTCCGACTTACATTAATATCTAAAAAATTATAAATAAAAACGAGAATTATTCTGATTTTAGATTGCTCCCGTTTATAATAAGATAGTTCATTAGAGTGAAGTTTCTGGCGAAGAGATTTATTTCCGAGAATCTGCTGAAATAATTCAGTAGCATTGTTTGTTGTATAGGCCAAAAATGTGGATCTTGGGTTATATGAAACCATTAGTGGTCTAATGCACCTGGTAAGCCACAAATGCAACTGTGTTATGTAGCCCAAAACGAAATAAGTAGGCCACAGAAGGTCCATGAGCTGTCAGAAGATAAGTCACTGCACTATTTGTAGAAACTAATTTACGTGAGAGGATGGGTAAAAATATAACTGTGCTTCCAGTAACTTCTTGTGGCCATAAAAATGTCTGTTGTGACATAAGATCTTTTTCTAAATGAGATTTTAAGTAAGAAATTGGATCAGGCAAGGAAATAATTGATGTTAAAACACTGTTTGAAGCTTCTTGTGCTAGCTGATCAGCGATCTGATTGCTGACAATACCAACATGTCCAATAAAATTTTGCTTTTGTACCTGTTGGAAAGTTGCGTTAACAGATACTGAATATCTTACTAATAGAGACAGACTTTGCCCTACTATAGCTTGAAGACTCGAAACATTGTCAGATATTATACTATAGAGAACATTTTCGCAAATTGAATTACCTCGACTTGCCAATAGTTCTGCCTGGAAGATGGATGGAAGATGGAATTTGAATTGTTTAATTTTGCTTTTCAGGTTTTAATTTTCATTCCATTGTAAAGAGTGCAAAAGACACTAAAACGTGGGTACTTGCAAACTGGCTACAGTGTTTGATAACATGTTTGCAGCATTTTAAAATATTTTAGTAACTTATGAGCATTACTTCACGGTACTCTTTCGCAGGGCAAAATCAAGATAGCTTCATTAGCCCTCAACATATGCTTTATGCTAAAAATTTAAAGACTCCAGCATTAAGAAATATAATTTTATTACATTTTAGAAACCAAATAGGCAATACTTTAAATTCACAAAATAAATCGCAGACAAAGTATATACAATAAACAGGTTTATACAATTATCGCAGATAAGCAAATCTATAAATTAAGTATTTTCAGGTCTAGTCCATCAGGAAACAACCGTGCACTGTCGGAGGCAAGTGAACATCACGAGGCACAACCGCTCTTCCCAATTCTTTGAAGGTTTTAGCGTCCAGCACTAACAAGAAATCGGGAGAATCGTGGTCAACATCGAGCACCACAGATAAAAGGACACCTGAAAGAAGAAGAATTCGTACATGATTTCTAGTTAAAATTACAAAAAAAATCCTTTAAAAGCAAGTTTGTTGAGAGAACATAAACATGCCATTTAAAAACTAAAAGGGCAAAACAGTAGTTTTATGCTTGGCCTAAATTAGGCTTCGGCAACCTATCCACCACGATCACCAAGACTCATTTCATAATTTCCAAAAATAATGCACAATATATAGAGAAAATTAATTATACATTAGACGAACACTTAAACATATAAAAATTAAATCAAAAGTTTTCAGAAGTGAATATGAATTTTTATTTAAAAAATAAAGATTTTTAACAGTTTGAAGGAAAAGTTTCGGCAACACCATCCATCATTCACACGTCCAAAAAATTGACCGACATTTTTTCCGCATTCCGTTCAACTTATGAATGTGAGCAAATATTTTCACACGTGAAATTTATTTTAAATAACAGAAAACAGAAACAGCTTAAATACCAAAAACTCATATTCTTAAGACAACTGACTATACGCCGGACTTCACTAAACTGACGTCACAAGTTCAGCATCGGGGAGTCACCGATGTAGAAGAGATAAAGTTCATTCAATTATGTTTTTATAACAATTAGAATTATAATTTTATAAATTTTAAACTGTATTGTAATTATTTTCTCGAAGAAATTTGCCATATTTTTCACCAAGAAAGGTTGCTCTAAACGAAAATACTACCGACCCAAAACGTTTTCTTAACACATTTTGGTCCATTTAGACCCGCAGCCAGAAAAAGTTGCGGATGCCTGGTTTAGACCTACTGACAATGATATAACGTGGTAAACTTATTTCCTTGAAATTTTAAGGTTTCTACTTTAATTACAATTCTCATTGGATTTCAAGAATTGAGGAAATTAGCAATTAAGAAAGTTATTAAATAATTAAGGTCAGGTAAAATTAAAGTTTGCAAAACCAGAGTTAAAATTAAATAATTAAACTTTGTACGAGCTCTGAAGGAAACGTAAAATTCATAGCACCTAACTTACCATCATCTTCCACAGTGGAACCGGGTCTTGGGACATAGATAATCTCACCAGGATACATCGTGTCCTTTTCTCGCCAAACAGTCATCTCGCCCGTAAATGTGTCTAATTTTACGAGCTGAAACAAAAGGTCATTATTAACAGAACCAAATCTACAGTTCATGGAGATTTTTAAGAGTTTAACGGTAAAATTAAAATAGGAGTCGCATAAAATATACAAGCCTGAGAATTATACACTGAATAACTATCTTAATTATCTTACATACAGTATCACGGATGAATCACCAGTTTTCAGGGCTAAATAACCAAGCTAGTACCCAACTATCTTACAGGAGCCTAAATATGACGCCATTTCAGTATTTTGCGATACTAATGTTTAACACTTTCGGCCTTTTTGGTGGCATTTTCCATCTTCATACGTAGAAGTCTGTCATAAATAATAGAAACTTATTCACCAATCATTATAGTCCCCAGATCTCCTCTAGCGGCTTATGCGAATTATTTTCGCATTGTGTCTACCTTGAGACCTGACGGTGGAACTGTGCTCAACATCGTAGTTTCTACACCTCAAGTACAAACATAATGTTATGAATTTTGCACATATATACATAACTGTAGTATTTTGCATAATGTAAAATGAAATGCTTAAAAAAGCGAAGCTCTGCCGGAACAATGAGGTTACAGGGGCTAGTCTAATACTGAAGTACATTGCTATCTAGCTAAACTGGCAATGATATTGGCGACTAATACCTGTCCCCAAATTTGGTGAGAAATCGCCAAAAGTTTCTAGATTTGGCGGCCATTCGGTTCAGTCCCCGCACAAGTGCAATTAGTACTGTAATTAAATAACTAATTGATCCCAATATGTAACAGTACCCGGCCCTTGTATGTAACTGTATACGCTTTTCAGTAGTTTCGAGAAATGGAAAGTACAAGAGATTTTTCGGTGGCCTAGGAAAAAACCAACTGTAACTGTTTGTATACCTGCCCCGTTAACTGAACATTACAGGGACTGACAAGTCAGTTAAAAGCCACCCGAAGATGGTTGTATTCACTCCTGTTGAGCCACAGGGACCCACATCCCCAGAGACATCAACAAATTAAGGCTCTCTGTAAGGCTCACAGCTAAACACTGGCCAGTCAAGACCACCGTCCCAGCTTAACAAGATGGGGAGACCAAGATGGGGTGGGCATTGAAAACTTGGAGCTTGACTGTCCGTTGATTGACGCTACCTGCCCGTACTACTCGGACAGCCCCTCCCTTCAGACTTTACACCGAATACCGAGAACGGCAGTGACTGGACGCTCAATGGCTCACAGGTGACATTCGGCTACCGACATCCTAGTTACCGGGGACTTAACGTCACCCGGCGCGTGAGAGATGGAGATGAGCCCCACTACTCCACGGACCATCGGGAGCCGCCAAGTTCTTAAATATTGTACCTGCGTGGCCGTTACAGTGGAATACTTCTGAAAAGAAAAGTCGTTATTTGAAACACTTGGAATTGACTAAGAAAAATAATATTAGCTTCAATGATTTTGACATTAAGCAGTTTCCCATTGGACATGGGCCTTTCCCGGGACATGGATACTTCGATAGGTTTAAGATACAGGACGACAATAAATGTAAACTATGTGGTCTGTTTGGTGATGCGAAGCACTTCCTCGAGGTCCGTCCCAACTTTAATAGCTTAAGAAAGAATAAAAAGTCTATTTTGAAAATCCCTTTTAATGCTATAAAGATTTTGCACAATTATGTAAATCTGTTATAAAAATTATTAACGGTGAGCGCCAGGAAGTGGAAATCGGTATGAGTTTTGCTTTTTATTGCCATCACTATTTGGTCTATTTTACCATTGTGTTTGTTGCTTTTTTTTTTCCTTGGTCGTCTTAGGTGTCTGCATTTATCTAAATGTTTGTATCTAAATGTTTTTCTTCACTTTTATGTTTTTCATTATTATTAACACGATTATTTTCATTTAGTTCACTTATTATCTTTTGTTGAAATGGATGTGGCCTGTTATGACCATGAGACCAACTTGTTTGGTTAGGTGGGTCGGGCTGCTCCCACTACCGATAATGATACTCCCGTAGCCAAGGCTACCTAGGTACACATCCTAGCCAGTAGCTTCGCAGAGTACTCTACATCGACCCTGGTGGGGGGGGACTAAGCCCGAAGAGATCAGTTCTCAGTTTTTAGTTCAGAGGAGTCAAAGCATTAAGATTTGGTGCAAACTTCGCTCTTTGGATGCAGTCTGCATTGTGTTGTGTTTAAGATTATTAGTACCTTGAAGTGGTAACTACTGATTGCGCTCTGTTATATTGAAACACCCATAAATACGTTGTGGACATTTTGCATTTAAAAAAATCCAGAGGTAAAAGTTAAATATAAATGAACAGCGTCATTTAAATTTTTGGTGAAAGAGCCACTCTCTTGCTATTAGATTGATTCCGACTATTACTGAACATACAATACAATACAATACAATACCATTAACTGGATCTTGCGTTGTGACGAAAGGGATTCGTTCGTAGATTTTGAATGGACTACGAATTTATGTACCAAGTTGGACCGGAATACATTCAGTGTTGAAACATAGTTTATAAGTTTCTTTTCTTTTTTTTTTTTTTTTTTTTTTTTTACAGATATTTAATTTTAGCTCTGCCCTCGTTCATTTCTTGTTTGCGTTAATATTTAGTTTATACAGCCCTAATTTTGCACACATGCCTTTTTGCCTATTTATAAACTTGTTTTGCAAGCCATTGTATCCCAAACCTAAAATAGTTCAATTTCTTTGAAACCTGATACGTAATTCATAATAAGCATATTTTATATAGACATTTAATGCTCTCTGCTGCTAAATGTTTTGCCAAAGCTTTACAACTAAACACAGATGATTTTAATTTCCTCCTTAAAAGAAAATTAAAACCATACCTATAATAATCATTTTAGTAAAATATTGATTTGAGTAATTGAAATAAGGGTAGGGCTATAGAGACTTATCTTAAATATTTAATTTGAATTCTGACGATTTTAAAATTCTAAAACTATGCACAGCATTTTTAAAAATGTGAGGATAAAATTTCTGTAAATAGCAGCAGTAATATATTAGCATTAAAATTCTACAATTAAAATCCATCTCGCATTTAAACTGAAATTTAGATAATCATTTCTATTTCATAAGAGTATTTAACGATGCACGAAAAGACAAAATTGTTGAATTGTATTTAGAATGTTTAAGTCACAAGACTCATAACAGCTGTAGCAAGGAACAAACATGGCTTTTAACTGTGAAGGATCTCGATGAAGTCACTCCTAGCTAGCAAGTAGCAACAATACCTGATGATTTATTCTAATAGTCTGGTTTTCCCCTTAGGTTTACTTATACCTATATCAAATTGCTCAAGCAACAATCACAGTCTTGCAGCACTGCGGACACCATCCAGAAATGCACTTTATCACCAAAAATCCTTAGAAATCCGATGCCTGTAAGTCCTGGACTGTATATATTGCAGAGGAGTGGGCTCTTTTTATGGTAGTTGCAGGTGACAGCTAAATACAACACAATGCACTTCCTTTGTTTGGAAGCATATTCATCCCTGAAAGTTTCGTAGCGATTGTAATCGTGAAATCCGACAACGTCCTTTCCAAGTTATTCAGCGAATATCGGATTAAAATCTGAAAGCTAACTTTCATATAGGAAAGCCAGTTTGAAGCTGTATTTCAGGAAGAAATTTTGCATTAAGAAAAGAAATGGGAGACACTTAGGTTATACTTTGCAATATGCAATTAAGGTTCAATAATGCATCAAGATTTTCCTTAAAGAATAACATTTAGAACAAACATTGATTTTGTAAAAATGTTAACCTTCAACACATAACGGTTTCTCTTAAATAAATCCAAATGCGTTAGCCAGTTAAAAACAAACGCAGGAACGGGTTTTATAAGGACTAAGATTATTTTATTCATTTCAATATTAAACAGAAAACATTAAAAAATACCGAATTCCTGTATTTTCCGGTTTCAAAAACTCCGCTTCCGTACACATATCGGTACTTCCTCGTGTTGAACATGGAATAGTTGATCGTCGGCATTTCAAAACCTGAAAGAAAACGCATTTTAGCAAGTTAAGATATTTGAACTGGGCTGTCAGCTGGCATACACCTCCCAACTAAAAGCAAATTTAATAAACACGTTGATATTTCAAACTAACTTTACCAAGTTCATGAAGGTTTTTACATTAGATTCAACGAAGCCAAGTAACAGCTTTCCTCGCCAGGTTCCCACAAACTTCATTGAGCTGTCATCCCTATTAAGTCCCATTTCAAAGATCCAAAACATCAGTTACGCGAATTTAATCAGTTTCTTACTTTGAAGAGTAACTTCCGCTTATTGAGTCATTTTGAGTTTTGCTTTTATTACATTTGAAACGAAATACGTAATTGAAGATAAGGATTTATTCTTTTTCCGCAGAAAATACAATTCGAGATAAATATTTGTGAAACATGGGTTACTGCGTTATTCCCACAAAACTCGTGACCGACAGTGATAGATTATTTGAATATGGAAAAGCACACGAGGGTTATTTACCTAAAAGAAAGATGTTTTTATGGAGAACCGATTCATGTCAGAGTTAGACTCTTGGAAAACCAGCCATGCAGCCAGCATTTGCCCGTGTTCAAACCTAAGTCGAACTACCAGCATTTAGCGGTCTTAATTATTCTGCCTCTGGTAAGAGCAACAAGCAGATATATTACCTCACCGTTAGGTATGAATGACAAGTTAATTCAGTACCTCTGAGAAACAAATATTCCTTCTTGGGAAGTAAGATGCCTATATGAATCCACGTATTTTAGGCCGAAATTTGAATTCAAAATAAGGTTTAAGATGACCAAAATTTAAAAGGAATAAACTTATAAAATTGTTTCTGAGCATTCATAATTAAACAGAAATCTTCATTTCTTTTTAAGTATGCACTTTGATGGAACATCGTATGCAACAATCAGGCTCACCAAGATATCCATTTGCGTCAGATGACAGTAGAAACCGCGATTTCAATTTACATATAGAATTTAAGTTCCCTAGCTTACATTTCTAGCAAAAAACAGTGTTTGATATGAAGATAACCAAAAGTCATTAACAAGTCAAATCTGAATCTCACTTAACACAGGATTAACTTTGCTCAAAACGTTTTCCAGGTTGACAGCAAAAAACTTAATGTTTGACACGAAAGTAACTAAAAATCATTAACAAGTTCTAAATTATATTAAGTGAAATTATAATTTAATATTAAAAAATTAAGAATTACTTTATAACAAACATTAGAAACGAGCTTTACTTTCAACAACGCTCATTTGAAAGCGCTCAAGAAATACTCAGACTTTCTTTTACAAGAAAGGAAATTGTCACCAACTTGCAGAAATATTCAAAGCTGCTAATACTTCTTAAAACATTTCTAGAAGCTGATATCAATCTCTTAACTGAAAATTGAGATTATGAACTTTAAAACTAGCATTAAGTTCTGTTTAAATTAAAATGGATTTAATCCACAACAAAAATGAATGTGCTTGATATTCAAACTTCCAATGTCAGTGGAGAAAGAACAAAACTCCACAAGCATGATACTCTAATGATTTCTTTTCAGAACTGAATAGAAGTTATCCGGGAATTGTAAATATGAACTAAATGAAAAATGCACTGCTTAATGAACTAATCATACATAAAACCATTAAATTCCTGCCTCTTAATCGTAAGTACATACACTACCAATAGATGGCAGCACTATGTACTCCGTGAATGCATATATACAGACTCTCTAAAAGTTTCTCAAATAGGCTACAGATGGCAGCACCAACCATCAATCTGGCATTTAAGATGCATTTAATTATGTTCAAAATAGTCGAAGAATTATCTTTAATACATATGCATTTTTAGTGAATAAAAATTTAGCCTTATGGTCCAGACTAAAAATGTATTATAGAGTAAGCAACACATTACCACTTTCGCCTTTGTTTTCTGCTTGTAAAAATACCACATCTTTATCTTGTCTAACAGCTGTGGCTTCAGTGTTCTTCAAAGTAACCAAATTTTCTCCCTTTTTGCCATCCTGAAGAGAAAAAAAATAATGTTTTTAACTTCAATATTCTTTATTTCATAACGCTCATTTAGCATTAGTATCAATCTTGAAAAATCTGAACTAGAAATATGGCAATAAATTTCAGGTTTTAAACAAGGCTAACATGAGTGACACAGTAAAATGTCATTACTGAAGCTTATTGAGCCAGAAAAATGTAACCCATGGTGCTTATCTCTTCTAAAAATAACCCCTTTCAGTAAACGTTTCCGAGAATTTTTCCGATACATTTCGCATAAAACATGCTGCAGAAGACATTTGGAACTCATTTTCTTTAAGAGAAAGTAGGTCCATTTTTTCCTTATACACATAAAACACGCATTTTCAATTCCAAAACTTTATTGAATTTATATTAGTTATCAGAACACATTAAACTAGTGGTCACCCTTCTTTTCCTGTCCCCTTCTCAGCTGTATACCGATGTTAATTCTGACCCCTTTCACCACAAAGTTTCTTGAGCTGTATACATAATTAGATGAACTTAAAATTTCTATAGCATACTAGAAAAGGTATGCTATAGAAACCTTAAGTTTAATTATAGCATACTAGAATAGGTATGCTATAACTAAATTTAAGGTTCACTTTATTTCGTAAATGTTAAAACATTTAAATGCATGTAACTGTATTACCATTAAGGACTGCATACTTTCTGGAAAATGGGATCAAATTATTTTTATAGGCTTATAATGTCACTAATACAAATTGCGAATCTACAGAAATAAGCATTTGCTAGAGATGGGTACTAACTATAAATGTCAAAACTAGACCGGCTTTCAAGCAAACTTTTAGAAGCCTTGACTAAATATTTTCACAATTGGCACTGGACTAAGAGCCAGTTTATGTAATTACGCCAAAGCTTCGAGGACTATCTGCCTAAGGAAGGGGGGATACCTTCGTGGAAAACTTTGAGGGGAAATTGGCTTGGATACAAGTTGCCCATGCAGCCAGCAGGTTCACGGGATTCGAACCGCGAGCCTAACTACCAGTGTTCAGCGACTTTACCGCTCAGCCACTCGTGGGCGGAATATATGCCAATACTCTTAGCATTCGTATAATATGTGTTATCACTTTAATTCTATGCGCAGACTTCAGGGCATAAAACTGAACGGTACTTGTCTTCTGCAACGGACTTGACGAGAATGTTAAATTGGCGCTTGTTAGTTACATTTGGCGAATGATCGTGCACTAATAGCTAAAGGCCAGGGGAGATGGGCTGATTCGTTCATTAGAATTTTTTTTTTTTTTTTTTTCATTTCTGGTAGTTCTTATCCCAAAGCAAATACGGATATGAAAGGAAGATTACTGGTTTTCATAATGTAAATTTACGCATTTCGTTTAAGGAATGTTCGGTTAAATAAGTTAAATAAATTGCATATACTAATAATTCTGAAGACATGTATACAAACATTTCTGATAATTTTTCTTCGGTAAGATGAGTAAAGTTATACAAACATTCATTAGTATTTCACAATTTAAACGCTTTCAAAATAAATATTACACAGCTAAGATAAACCTACTTTAATGAAAACAATTTTGAAATTATTAAATAATTCACTTTAAAAATATACTGTGAAATGTTATTTTCGAATAAAAATATAAATTAAAAATGGAAATTTCGAAATCTCACAGCTTTGAGTGGCAGCACGAATCTGGTGAAAATAGGTTGGCAGGTGGTATCAAATTGACCGAGTCTAAGCTTGTCCAGATAGAATTTGTCGATGACCTCTGGGCCGGGAAAAGCCATAATATCAGCAACTATGTGACCATCTTCTTCGTAGGTATTGATGTGATGGAAGAAAAACAAGGCATCCGCTTGGTACTTCAACTTTATTTCTTGCCCAGACACTCGGTCGACGACGTGGAAACGCGTCTGAGATAATAAAAACAAAACCGATAATAAAACTATAAAACAATTTTGCAATATTCAGATCAAGTTAATATAAAAATGTAGACGGAATTATTCATTCAATCATAAATCAAAATATTGGGATGTCTTATGCAAGACATTATCAAACCTTTTCTTTAGGACACCAGTCAAAGCATTCTTTCAAAGCATATCCCTTAATGCCTGAAGCTGCCATCCGAACAGTGTTGACGAGAAGAGGCTGTTCTAGGAACAGAATATAGTGTTCTGTGAGGCCAAAGCTGTGATAGTAACTGAAGCTAGCCTTGTAATTGGAATTTATACTAGTAAGAATTGAAGCTCTTTCAAAGCCCTTGATATCTAAAACGGTTAAAACTGAATATTAGTTACAGATGAAAATACTACAAACAAAGATATTTGCCACTTCCGCAATAATTCATAATGAATTTAACAGATTTTGCTTTAAGTTCAGAAAATGTGCCTGCACGCTTCATTTCCGTGAATGTTGATCTTAAATTATGCTTTCTCAAAATATTCCGTAAATTTACAGAAAAACTAGCGCTTCTCTACAATTTTAAATGATTTTTTAATGTTGAATATTTTCAAAGTACCGGAAGAAATTAGGAGACGTGTTTCAGAGATGGCTAAAACAGCACACATTTCGTAAAACAGATTTGTAGATGTCACCAAGACGGCTTAGAAGTTTGCCTGCCAGTAAAGAGAAAAAACAAGCTACCATTTGGACTTCGCCGAAACCTTTTGCGAAATCCTCGAGAAACCATCATGTGCCTGTAGGTACTTTCTGTACAACTCTAAAACCATTTACGTCGATGCGTATAGTATCCATCATGTGCCTGTAGGTACTTTCTGTACAACTCTAAAACCATTTACGTCGATGCGTATAGTATCCATCATGTGCCTGTAGGTACTTTCTGTACAACTCTAAAACCATTTACGTCGATGCGTATAGTATCCATCATGTGCCTGTAGGTACTTTCTGTACAACTCTAAAACCATTTACGTCGATGCGGATAGTATCACTGAGGAGGACACCAGTGTGTCCCTAGAATGAAATAACACTGACGGCCACTAAAAATTCTTTTGGACACTAGTTAATTGTCATTTGAGGGTACCAGATACCCTTCTTTCGAACGTCAGAACATGACAAATACAGTCAAAAAAGTTCATTACAGTTCTTAGAATATCTGCATTTTCAGTAAGAACAGGAATTTAGAGCTGTATCTAATTTTGTATGTATATCGTGTCCATCACAATTGGGTATAAGTTTCTGTTTTCCAGTAGATTAACTATTTTAAGCATTGTGAACTATTACAGCCAATTCAACTTAGAGCGAATTTATTTTATTAGCTGGCAAATTGGAATATACTAACTGTAATGAAAAATTGGTTACAGTATTTGAAACATGTGCATTTATATAGTATGATGGATTGATAACTATACTAACTGCAATGAAAAATTAGTTGCAGCATTTGAAACATGTGCATTTATATGGTATAATTGATTGGTATATAATATGTGCTGAATAATTTTACATATTTCATGTTTGTTACAACTGGGAATTGGTTCCTGTTTTTCTGTAGATGTTTTTAATTATTTGAAGAAATTAGGCACTATTATAGTCATTTTACAAGAATGATTAGCTATATTTGAATATGTGTTCTTATGTTGTAGGAATACCTGCCAATTTGTATAGATTGAAATTGTTTATTTGTGCTATTTATAATTGTATAATATAAATTTATTTTAACTGCCATGCAAAAAATTAGTTGCAGTTTTTTTTTTAAACATGTACATTTGTAGTATGTTTGATTGGTATATATTCTAACTGTAAAAAAATTAGTTGCAGCATTTGAAACATGTGTATTTTTATGGTATGATGATTGGTATATAATATGTGCTGAATAATTATGTATTTTATGTCTATTTTAATTGGGAATTAGTTCCTGTTTTCCATTAGACGTTTTATTTTAGAATATCTGCTTTATATTGTTGGAATACCGGTCAATTTGTATTGACTGGAACAGTTTTAACAAATCTGTAGTTTTGCACAATTTAGAATTATATTGAAAAAATTTAAGAATTAGTTTCTTTTTTTATCATCTGGGAGCCAAGTCATTATTTACAAAACATTTGCTTCTGTGGATAATAGTAAAATAGTGTACATATTACAATGAAATTCCCAATGCAATTTCATGTCTGTCTTGTAGATAATTACGACACAGTGTGCAAATGCTGTGGTGGTGTTGGTGTAGTTGGTGTATTTAATTATGGCAAAGCACACTAGGGCTATCTGCCTAAGGGGAGGGATGCCTTTGTGGAGGACTTTCTAAGGGAAACTGGCTCGTATACACATTACACATGGGGAAAACCACGAAAACACCCATGCAGCCAGCCCGTTCGCGGGATTCGAACCTTGGACTGAACTACCAGTGTTCAGCGACTTTACCGCTCGGCCGCTGGTGGGCACAAATGCTATGGACGCACATAATGAGGTGTGCTAACTGTTAAGGACACCAAGTTATGATGTATCAAAGTGGACAAGTAGTATTTACTTGAACGATGAATTTAACAAAAGTGAACATAGAATAGCCTACACAACATCATATACTTTGGGCTATGGAACTATCAATTGTCTGAACTGATGTGACTTGCTTACACTGTGGATAACTGCAAAAATAATACGGAAATACTATCATTTTTCAAAGAAATCTTCCAGACTTTAAGGGTATAAAAAGAATTGTTTGAAAAGAAATTTCTATGTTATTTTTTTGCTGTATGTTAATCTCCTTATTCTATATTAATATTAAATTTTTACCTTGAAATCTTACCTAAAATCAAACGGCGAACCCTAGGTGTGCCCATATCGGGTTCACTGATAATCTAGGACAACTGAGAGTCTGTATTCTTTGTTTTCCCCCCATCTCATAAGTCAGTTCATTGACAACAATGCTCGTTTCAGCACTCTTTTCGAAGCTCTATTCAATCAGTGTGCCACTTTGGGAACACCCACAGAATTAAAACGATAAGTGCCATCTTCACAAAATTTTACTTGTGTACTCCTCTAGGACTAATAAGACTGCCTACCTTTTTTTAATCAAAACTCCGAATTTCAAAAGTAGCGTGCCGGAAAGGGTTAAAGGGGCTAACGCCTGTCAGTACTCTAACCAGGAATAAAATAACCGTTACTTTTGACTCGTCATTAAATCGTAACTGTGCACTGGCAGTCTTTATGAAGAATGAAGTTCAGTTCATCAATTCAACGCAATTTCATCAAAGTTAGTATCTTTAGTTAAACCTTTGATCACTAGCAAAATCATGAAAGCAGATATCCTATTTTTAAAGGTTACCCAATTCACTAGAGAATGTAATGCTACCTAGAGGAAATTCTTAGCGTCGTTGAAGAGAGTTGACACTGGACGAAGTATTTACAAGTGTACGATTCTTAATCTTAGGATCTCGATCAGAAAATGTAGCAACCGTAATTTTATTATAGTTCAAGTTTTAGATGCCAGCGTTTCAGACATGGAAACTTTCCTTCACCAAGATGTTTGATCTGCAGTAAAGACGGTAATTCCACCTGTATCCGATGTGGGGAAGCATCACGTGGCCTCATTCAAGGTATGTGCATTTTACCTAAAATTGCTTCAGAGAAATGAAGAAAGGGCCAGAGCCTCCTAAAGTCATCTAAAGCTGTTTTTAAACAGAAGGAAAATCCTGCTGTGTTGAGCTATTACGCACGCGCCGATTGTTTCACCTAAACCAATGTTGGAAGCTGTCAAACTTAAAACCTACCAGGTCAAAATTAAAAATATTATCAGCAGATAATTAAAATTTGTAGATTAATTCAAGAACAAGGAAGTCGCCTGCGAAAAACTCCAACTAGTACTTTGCTTAGTTCAACTTCTTGACGGGACGGAAAATGAATTTTTCCTCACTCACAGTAGGATGATCGATTCATTTCCTTCTGGGCCCGATAAATGACACCTCAAATCAGGAGTCTTTTCTCCAGTAATCGGATTATAGTTTTCTCTCAGCCCTGTGAAATGAATTTTGCGGGTCTCTTCACTCAAGATTTTTCCTCAGTTCGATGTCCGGAATTTTACAAGATCATGTTCTCGAGAATTTAATTTCATCGAAACCGCATAGCTGTGCTTGTATCAAACGGATTCTATCAAACTGCTCTGTGTGCTTATCAATATCGCTTTTCAGCATCTTAAATTTCATAGACAATGTAACTTTCTCCATATCCAATGAGTACAATTCTAGACAAGTTAACTTAGGTTACTTCGTCTATGTTTCTACAGGTTTTTTCTGTTCACCCTATTGCTTTTTTACGAGGTGGAATCATTAATCTTCCGTTAACGTACCATTCCCAGGAGGCATTTACAAACACGTGCGACCTGGACAGGATTGTCAATATCCCTCACTCTCAGCATACGAAAATAATTCTTACACTTAACTACTTAAGTGAATTTCAGAGCTTTCATTATTATATCTTGTTTTTTCTCATGGTAAGTTTATTAGTTTATATTTAACTCAAGCATAAGTGTAGACTGTTGAGTTCAAGCAGAAACACAGTTTTGTTCTGTACGTTTTTCAGTAAACACTTTCAGATTAGTCACGGTACAAACTAATTCTTGCAAAACAATCTAGAATTGGTGCAGGTGCATATACATAGTATTGGAGACTTCTAAAACAGATACAAACTGAATTTAATTCCATTAAGCTTTTAAAATTGGGTTTGGTCTTGTCCATAGCATGCTTGTTTGAAGTGTTATGGATATGCTATACTTACATTTTATTTGTGCTAATATTCATCTTACCCTTTTTGCCTTCAGGAGCAACAGATATCGGTGGCAGCTTCATGATATGGTACCTTAAACCAGTCATAAAACTAGCTCCCAAGTTATAAATTGTCCCGTCCGGGCACTTGTGAGGGTGAGAACTTGCAAGATTAACGGATAATAGTTCCTTTAAATCAATCTGAAAGGATAAAAAAGTGTTGAAAGCTGAGTTTTCCCAGTAATGGAAATTAAAAGACAAACAGAAATTAAAAGAACATTGACTACAAAAGTAATACTTTACTAATGTGCAAACTAGTTTGCCTTATAATACGTAGTATTTTATAGAAGAGGAACCTGTATTTCCCTCAAAATATCAAGTTATGGAGAATAACAGCTTCATTCTAATTTTTTTCAATCATAAACGAGCTCTTTAATATGTGAATCGAAAAGATGTTTTATTTAACGTAGGAGAGATTGTTTTTATTTCAACATTTAATTCAGACCAATGAGAGCGAGCGCATATCTGCATAGCATTTTTAGGTACTCATTTTCCCGTAGAGATTTCTTGAAGCAACGGTTTACATGACTGAAGGTGTACACTGGAAATTTAATATTAACAGCGTGGATGAAATGTTAGAACAGAAAAACGCTTCAAAAGAAGTCGCTTTCTTCAAAGAAAATTTTTATAGCCAAACTTGACGAAGGAAATTCATTTTATATGTACACACTGGAAACTCACCGTGTAGCACACGTGGTTATTTTCGTGGTCCCCCCCCCCAGTTGTAACGTTTATACGCGCCTTTTTTCCTTAAAAAGTCTTCCATGGGGTATCCTTCCTTTTCCTTGCAATGCCTAACGGCGGAACATGGAATACTTCTGAAATTGAAACCATTTCATTGCCGAAACGCGCGAATAGACTTGAAGTGATTTTCAAAGCTCGACTGGTGGAAGTTTTTAATCACCCAACTTCCAAAAAACGAGTATTTAAACCGTATGCGATTAAGCCACAATCGTGCTGAAAATATTTAACTTTGTTAATAAATAGAACTTATTAAGTCTTACATGCTATTAGTTCTTCGTATCGTTGAATTCTTTCATTGTCCACAACGTTTATATTTCATCTTTTAGAATTCATAGGCCGTGTTCTACATAAACTACGTAGTTTCACGCAGTGACTGGATGTACGACCGGCAGCATAAATACGAGGGCTGTTCAGAAAGTATCGAGACAATTTATTATGCAAAACAGGTTTTGAGTCAATCTCCTTCGAAATATGCACCACTAGCAGTAACACACTTGGCCCAACAACGTTTCCAGTCCTCGAAACATCCGTAAATCCTCGACTCATCCCCAGCGATGATGAGCCTCATGAACTCCGGATCGTCGCTTGCACTTGACAAATCAAATGAGATTGCCAGTCGTTGGAATTGCTGATCCTCAGTGAGGAGACGCGGCACAAGCTTTGCAGACACTCGGCGCGTGTTCAAGTCCTTTCTCAAAATTTCATCACATGATCCTATGGAAACGCCACACTCCTGTGCAATTTCTCGGACTGTTAAATGACCGTCAGAGCGCACCACAGCCTTGTGCAATCTTGTCCTCATTGCGAGAGGTAGACGGGCGTCCAGAACGGGGATCACTGTCCATCGTCTTCCGACCCTCCTAGAATCGCCGGAACCACTCGAAAACCCGAGCACGACTCACGGCCAAATGCTCTTTTCATCATCTCGTAGGTTTCGGTGCCCGTTTTACCGAGCTTAAAGCAAAAATTGATTCAGATTCGTTGCTCCGTGTTTTCCGACGAACGTATGCAAACACTCCACATGAAAGAAGTCAATGTGACTAAACGACGCACTGTACAGACCTGCCGGTTTTTGTGAAACGAGGTGAAACATGCGTGTGCATGATACGCGCAGTCCCACCGCTATGGAATAAATAGAATTTAGTCTCGATACTTTCTGAACAGCCCTCGTATTCATTATATTTAATAGAGTTTTGTCCAACGCGTATTAAGATAAAGCCGCTCATTAATATTCAAAAAGTGCTAGAACATTTTCTACTTTATTCCAAAGTATTCTAGGAACAGATTTTTTTAAAGATACGCGGTCAACTCATGATTTCAGAAGACATTAAATAAGGCAGACATGCGGTCACACAAAACTTCAAATATGTGCAAAGGTCATACGGGGCCGTTTACACACGAAAATTAACAAAGTTTCAAATCGTGGAGCAAAATTCCATTGTCTTATAACAAATAATAGAGATATTAATTCTAATGATCGAGATATTAATTATAATGCCAAGTCTAATGATTCATACAAATGAATAGCTGTTGTCCTAAGATAACTTAAGGTTGCAATTCAAAAATGCAATCCTTTGAGAATTTAAAGCTTCAGAGTTCATCTTTAAACCTTCTCGCTGTCAGAAAAAAATCGCAAATGTAAAAATTACAAATCCTTGACTTTACGAAGTTCATGAAATGCATTTTGCTGTTTAAGGAAAAATATACGAAGACTCTCTGCTTACGGAGAAACATTTTTCTGAACGACTGGAGAAAATTGTCCGCATTCATAATATGCAAAGAAAATGACAATACCAAGCTGCAACCCATTTTGGTAAGATTTTAACCCGAAAAGAATTGCCTGTGTTCAGTAACTCAATCCTTTAGCTTGTTTCGCCTCTAGTGAAAGTATTGTTTGTCCCGATTTTAATTGCAACAAATTTTGCAGATTGCAGAACAAGTTCTTAAACAGATCCCATGTAGGGTTAAAAAGCAATATAAAGAAATTATAAAATAGTAAAAGGCTGTACAAGAAGTCTACATTTTCAGTGGAGTAGCTAGGGTGGGACCAGGCGGGACATCTGTCCCCTAGCGCAGCAAGAAAGCGGCCAAAATGATGTTACGATATTTTAGGATAAAATGCTTTCCATTCTTGGCACACAGAAAAAAAGCGCAAATTCATTTGTCCCCAGGCGCTGAAAACCTTACTACGCCTTTGTACATTTTTACCAAAACAACCCATGGGCAAAGGTCATACCCGAAATAATATCGGGCACAGCACTGGTGTTCGAAAATGTCACGCTCGAGTATTACCCAGGGTAATTTTTTTGAGTGCCTCGTATTGTTATATCCGAATATACGTAGGTCATTCAGAAAGTTTGTTGCACTACTGCGTAAATATGTTCCGTCTAAGACTATTTGGATGACACTGTGGGGCAACACTTAAGACATGTACCTTTATCGCGTGACGTAGCGCCTTCCCGGACACAAGTTTAATTTTTCTGATAATCAGTCGCAAACATATCTCGACAGCTTCAAATAGCGTCCAAATTGGAAATGCGTGCAGTGATTCGGTTTTTTGTGGGCAAAACGGTGCAACTGCACTAAAATTTATGTGCAGTTGCATGAAGTATATGGTGAAAATGCAATGTCACGTCAAGCTATCGGGAAATAGTGCAACGCGTTTGAGAATGGACGTACAGATATTGACGACACTGAGCGGGAGGGAAGACCATCAACTGCAACAAATTCGGAAATCGCTGCTCGCGTGAATGAATGCATTCTTGCAAACAGACGCATAACGATAGACGAAATCGCAAACTGGATATTTCTCATGGAAGTGTGCATAAAATTATTGCCGATCACCTTAAATTTCGTAAAGTTTGTGCTCGATGGGTGTCACGACATTGACGGAGGAACATAACGGAAAAGAGTTTTGAAAGTGCATTTGCATTTATGCAACGTTACCAAGCGGAAGGAAATGAGTTTTTGGACAAAACTGACTGAAGATGAAACTTGGATTCACCACTTCTCACCTGAAACGAAACGCAGCTCGCTCGAGTGGAAGCATTGCAGTTCCCCGACACGAACGAAGTGTCGAACTGTTCCATCTGAGGGAAAGGTGATGATGACGCTGTTTACGACAGAGAAGGCGTGGTGCATACAAAGTTCATGCCGAAGGGGGCCAAAATTAATGCATCTTATTGTGAAACACTAAAACGATTGCGACAATCACTTAAAAATCGACAATCATTAAAAAATGACAATGCAAGACCACATGCAGCAAAACAAACGTGTGACCTTCTGAAAAAGTTTAGGTGAGAAAGTGCGGAATTACCCTCTTTACAGCCCAGATCTTTCGCCTGACTCCCGTGTGTTTGGTCCCATGAAACAAGAGCTTTCAAAGCGACGGTACCATTCGGATGCCAGAATGAAAGCTGCAGCGCAACAATGGTTATCGAACATTGTACGCGATTTCTTTGCAGAAGGCATCGAAAAACTTGTACCACGCCTTGACAAATGCTTAAATAACAGAGATAATTACGCAGAAAAATAGATTTTGAATGGAACTTTAAGATAAAGATATTGCAAAATTTTGCTCCTATTTTGTTTAGGCAGTGCAACTAAATTTTTTAATTGACCCTCGTATATTGTGAGAAGTTTATTTATGGCAGCACTTTACTGAAGATTTGAAAGGATAGAGTGCGCGTCATAATTTGACTGCGCGACAAAAATTTTTGCTATAAAAACTGGTAATTTTGTACCCAAATGCTGAAAATAACTTGACAGTAAACCTGAGTGCCATATCTGATTATTCCTTAAACTAGTTACTTAAAATATCTTTCAATATCAAGTCCAAGACGACTTAATAAAAACGAACTTTGCCAACATATTTAACGGAAACAAAAACTGAACGTTTTTCGGAATGATAATTTAGAGATGAACTTACTCTCTCTTTGCAGGTGAGATCTTCGGGATTAATCTTCCACAAGTGGCAGGTTTCGGAGGCTGCGTACAATTCATCATCCACAGTATACACATTGGCCATATCGTTATCCGTCAGTTCCAATGGTACCAATTGCGAGAAATATCTGAAAATGAATCGGTATTAAATTCCCGTCACCAATTTGTTGCATAAAATTCAAACTATATAGTATGCTTTACTTAACTTTATCAGACAGTCTTTGAGTGTATTTTACATAATTACGTGATCTATGCATATTTGATGTTATATAATAATTTTTATTTTTGTACTAATGTCCATTTATTGTGTCTAAGTATAAATCAGTGTTATATTTTAAATCCTCTTTGAAAATCGATCGACGTTTGAATGTTAAAAATAACTGAAGAGATACCGCAGAAACCCTCTAGAGGAGCCTTGACAATTTGTATCGACACATTATTTCTCACAAACTTGGCGATATTCTGGGAATGACCCGAAAACGCGTATTTAAAGTCTTCGGAATGATTTTTCACCAAGACTCCCTAAATCCTACTGCCCTGGTACTGCGAGTACTTATTACTAAATTATGAAAAACAAAGCTCTGATCATGAAATCAAAGAACTGCGGTGGGTCAGATGATTCGACAACCCTTTTCAGTTAAGCTTCATTAAATTCCCTTCAAATTTTATCCCGATTTGTATCATTCAAGAAACAGTTGCTCGAAATAAGCATTTCATACAAAAAACACATTCTCATGAGAACTGCCACCACGGGGTTAGTAATTCTTTTCGGTGATGACCTTGGACTCATTTCTTGCGTCGACACATGGGCACATACTTTTCAAAAGTTTTCGAAGAAATTATTACCAATTTTAAGCCAAGGTCTGTTGAATTGAAGACAGTTTCCTCTTTAGCATAAAAATCCTTTAGTAAACCGATACGCGAATGCCTACGAGTTATCACATCAATTAAAGATCATTAAGCTTTGTATAAAATGAAAGCTCCAGAGAAAGATTACATCAAATCTTGAATTACAAGAATGTTTTAATTTAAATTTTCTGTTAATCGTCACCTTCCGAAGATGGCAACTCACATTTTGAGATGGCTGATGTGCGCGCATAAAGCCTTTTATTATCAGTAATGTTTTATACAGTTAGTAGCACTTAGAAGTATTTAGTTAGCTAGGTTCTGCCTAACAAACCAGGGCAGGAGTTCGCATTTAATAAATGAATCATTTTAAGTTATATAGGGGTGGTCACTGAGAAACCATCCATCTTCAGTACCGGGTCACGCTTTCTGGAGAAAGCCAGTACCACCTGCTGTAACCGGTTAACATTCTTGCTTTAAATTTCCTACTAATCAACGCTGTTTGTAGCGCGCTACAAGCAAGTTCAACGAACAGCAAATACTTAGTTTTGGAAGGGCTATGAATGAAGCAAATCGTTTAAGGTAACACAGGAGTCATTCAGGGATATTTATTCGGATATCAGATACGTGCAGGAGGGAAGACACCAGAATTTCACCATTGGTAGTAGAGGTATAGTCTGCTGCACTAACTGTCCAGTTACACCCCAATTTTTAGGGAGAACACCCAGTGAAATAAAACACCAGCTAAACGTTTTATTCGGAGCCTGGCTAGAAAAGGGCTTCAAATAATCTCCCAAAAGAAAGAAATCAATATTTTTATCAGTTCGGACGCTCAATGCCATTCGTGATATTTAGCAGCCGATTGCTAGCAGCCCCTGGAATCAACTCGAAGACCGTCTCAGCAAGCTGTGAATTGTGAACGGATATGTCGACGAGTGTTGAAATCGCCGAATCTAGAGCCGTGTGGATTAGCATCTATGCGACAATTGAAAATGTCCGACAGTTAAACGCGGCAATTGGTGGACGCGATTGTTGCCCATTTGAGGAATATGGACCCATTGCTTGCACTACATGGAGGATTTGATTTGTTTATAATAATAGTTTATAATAATAGCATCTTTTCAAAACTGGAACAACTTGGGATGAGTTTTTCCCTATTCAGTTTTTTAATCTAATTTTAAACTTTTAAAAAGTTTCGGGCGAAGATTTAAACTATGATATTTTAATAAAATATGGCCGACTCTATCTTCATTACAGTTTGTGCAATGAGGATTCTTCTCGGCTTTCAGCAGATATTAGCGAGTCAGTCGACAATGAACTGTTCTCAACCAGGCACATGGAGGAAGCTTGGTTTCATTTATCAGGTCACGTAAATCTACAGAACGAGTTGCAGGTCCGATGAAAATTCCAACACATGTCAGATAAAAAAATTGGCAAATTTGCGCAATCAGCAGAAGCGTGGCCGAACTTTTGAGGCACCTTCAAATGCTGCGAGTTACTTTGATAGCTGAATGGTTTTACAATTAACAAAAGATGTACATTTTCCAACAAAATAGGACATCATGCTACATCTCGTGCGACTATCCGGCACGGGTTCACGAACAAAGGTTTTATGGACACCACATTTACCAAATTCGTCCCACACGCGGTTATTATCTATGGAATAATTTAAAGCAGAAAATGCGAGCCAAAAACCCGCATAACTTAGATGAACCTAAGAAAAACAACGTGAGCGCTTTCAAATTTAACTTGTAGATAAGTGAATAACAGGACGTCTTGCAGATTTCTTTGCTTCTGAAGGGAGACCTGTTTTCTCTAGAAATTGATAGAGGTGTTTACTTAAATCTACACCAAACTCAAGGTTGTCGCATTACTAATTTTATGAATAAAAGGACTCCATTCGTTTTTTCAACTTAACACCATACTAACACTGGAGGAAGGCTAGCTTATGCTTAATTTTATATCTGCATTTCTTAACACGTTCACGCCGGCTCCGGCCACCGGCGGCCCGCACTAGTCCGTCTCATCGGGCGGCGCGTACCACCAGTGGCCCGCACTAGTCCGTCTCTCGGGCGGCCGGTACCACCGGCGGCCCGCACTAGTCCGTCTCATCGGGCGGCGCGTACCACCAGTGGCCCGCACTAGTCCGTCTCATCGGGCGGCGCGTACCACCAGTGGCCCGCACTAGTCCGTCTCATCGGGCGGCGCGTACCACCAGTGGCCCGCACTAGTCCGTCTCATCGTACCACCGATGGTACGCATTCGATTATGTTATTAGACGCTGAAAATTAATGAAAAATTAACGTTTATTTATTATAAAAACATTTTTAGTAACAATTATAATTAATAACTTAGCAAACGTATAACTCGTATACAGGTCTGAACAGGTAAAAATCGCGCGCCACCAGATGAAATGCGGCAAAAATTCGGGCGTCGTCTCCTGGCGAAGAACAAAATTTGGCCCCGGCGTGAACGTGTTAAAGACATGTTGCAGCAACGTATTTTATACATGAGCGTGCTAAGTTTAAAATAACTTTTGCGGTTTATTACATTATACACGAAATATATCATTGCTGAATTTTTAACTACTTGTGCATACTACTGTCTACATTTAAGAACGTTTATTCGATAATATTTTACCGCACCGTACAAAAAGCAAGTTGTCTTTTAAAGCTTATACCATACTGCTTCATTTGACATAAAAGCTAATATTTAGGTTGAAATATTCTTTATACATTTTTTACTTCGAAATGTCCTGGAGCAAAATCTGAGCTTTTTGTTCGGCAACTCTAAAGATACCTTTATGAGCGGATAACACTAAATATTTTAAGACAACTGCACTATTTATAAAATTTTGCACTAAACTCAAACCTATTTCAATATTAAACACTTCGTAGGAATTTATATTTATTTTTAATAAACAATTAAGTTACTATTTTCCCTATAAGCCTTCATTCCCCCAATAGTCGTCAGAATATTTAAATTTGGTACTGCGCGTGAAGGAACGCAAATTCTACCTTGAGGAGAAAAGATTTAAAGACAGTTCTAGAAAGGAAAATTAGTGAGCGAGGGCAAGTGCTGACCTTTGTAGCGCGAGCTTCTGGTTCTGCTTTTATTGCTGGTTAAAGTGACGTAACAGCTATTACTTTATTTCGACGCGGTTTTAGGTAACAGGATTATCAGAGCCCTGTAGAGAAAATTTGTTCCGTAATTCCGTAGGCTCCGCTGCGAAGCCAATGTTTTTAGCATGATTAGGCTTTATCTGTAGTTAAAACGTGCTCGGTCTCGCTACTGTTGCGATTGAAACATTATTTGACCCATTTTATGGTTAGCAACATGGAGAAAAATAATTATTGCGTTGAGAATATAGAGTGATGGTGAAGATGTGTTTGATTTTTCATTGTTAGAAGATATTGTGGAAGACTTTGTTGATTATAATTCTGACACTTCAATTAGAGGTTCCGAAATTATACTACCAGAGACGACGAATGGTAGTTATTGAAAGTGAAAGCGAAGAGTCGCCGGAAGACTTAGATAAATGACGCGATGTCACGGAAGAATTAGATATTCTGGATAGAATACATTTTAGTGTATCGGGAAAGGTCATTGGACCACAAATTCCTACAAATATTGTACAGCCGACAGAATATTTCAAATTATTTTTCACAAACGAACTGGTAAATAAAATTATAAGAGAAACCAAAAATTGCGCAGAAAATTTTCTAAAGAATAAAGAAATATCTAGCAATTCTATTTGGAAAACGTGGCGTGCGGTGGAAGAGGATGAGTTTTGGGCTTTTATTGGAGTTATCAATATGGGTACGATACCCCTGGTGAATATGCAAGATTATTGGTCAGTTAAGGAGAATAGTCACTTCCCTTTCTTTGGTAAAATATTTTCAAGAAAGATTTATGCAGATATTCTGGATGCTGCATTTAAAAACACCGAATCCTGCGAAAATGTTCGAGTTGTTGGTAGGCAGTGGTGCGAAAAAGGGTTAATATCTTCGAATTTTAAATTTATTTCTTGTTATTTGAGTTACCGAGCGAGTAAGGAATAGTTTGTTGCCTTCAAGTCGACGCACTGCAAATTTTAAAGAGTTAAAGTGTTTCTTTTTATCCTTCACCTGTGTGGTTCCTACGCTTACTTCAGCTGTCACATCAGAAGATAAACAAATAGATATTACAACTTCTTTGAAGTGGAAATAACATTTCGGGGATGCCATCGAGACGTTACAAAGATGTCAATTTCGCGTCCTAGCAAAATGCAAACTTCCCAAAATACTTGCTGAAATACTCGATCACAAGCCATCCAATGTAAAAGTTTATAACGTTACGTTATTCGAATATGATGAAACAACGAGGGATATGCGATTAGGAGGAAGAAAGTCTTCGTGGAGGACTTTCCGAGGAAACCTGGCTCGTGCATGGAAAAACCACGAAGACTAATTATGCAGGACTGTCAGTTCCCCCTGGGTCTGAACCCAATCCAGTTCGAACTACCAGTATTCAGCAGTCTTAACCCCCTCGACCACTGATGGGACTGAAAAAAATTTATAAGGGAGTCGTAAGACTTCTTTGGTAAATAAATGCAAGTGTTTAAAGCAACATTAATTTATTTCGATACTATATTCTAGTTCCCTTTCCTTTCTAACTTTAGCATTTTTATATAGGAATTCATATTCTGCATCTTGAAGGAAATTCATTCTAATAGCAACATTAAATTTTATTTTGAAATCTCGGCTATTAAAAGTAATCTAAATGCAAAATCAGATTTTTCTAACTTAAATTTTTTTATTTCTAACAGTAAATTTTTTCAGGCGCTTTCAAGACTACAGTACTGTTAATTATTTTTTCAGAAATACACGTCACTTTCGAAGGGTGGTCATCCAATTGAAGCGATTGCCATCGGGTACAACATTCCTCGTCCGCTTTTGTTGCACATAAGCTTGCCTTAGTCTAAATGATATATGAAAATTTGAGTTATTTAACTGGTAATAATTTGTAACATAAATAGTTAAATATACTGCATTTGTTTTTTTAAACAAGTGAAAATATGTAATAGTTCTAACATTTTCTTTAGCATAAACTTCCCGTTGACACATCTTTAGCAGATATTAAATGGAATTAATTGATACGACAGACAATCCCAAATATCAAATCTCATAGCAAGGAAATAATAAAATTTGTTTTTAACGAAACTTAAAATGCGACATCGTAATTTTGACGTGCATATTGACATAATTTATTGGAAAATAACGAGTGCGTGATTTAAAATCGCAAAGTTAAAAATTGATTCCAACTTCAAACTTAACTCCGGATTTCAAACCCAGATAAATGCAAAAGTATTCACACGATCTTTCCAAAATTTGGTATTCAGGCTTTATTTTAAATTTAGAATACAAATACTGAAAAAGCATCGGTATACCACTTAAGAAAACTCAACTTTATATCAAAAAGTTTAGAATAAAAAATCTTGCATCAAAAGTCGCGTTTTCATGGAAAATATAATTTGAATTTTTGTCAATTTTCTTCCATTCCTATTCTAGATAGCCTAGTCTTTTTCCTTACCGCATATAACAGTAAATCTCGATATAAATCTGAAGATTTTTTGTCTACAGTGCTAAAGGTATCCAAAAGCAGAACCTACAAAAGCAATTAGATACAGAAATTGGACTTAGCGCAGTCACAGAGCACGCATCCGAGTGACATTAGCACGCACAAGTCCTATAACAGGGCTGTGATTGATTACTATATGACAGCACATTAAAGCTATATCGCTCATGGGCATATTGGGACAACTCGAAAAATACGAATTTTGAGTTATGGTCGTTCCCAATGTTGTAAAATCAGTCTTTGTGGAGTCAGCTCATACAACACCCAGCGAACTAAACTCGTGCGTCGAGTTTATGCGATTAATTGGCATGGCAGTAACCTCTTAACTCCTTAGAAAGCTCTCTTGACTTGTGTCGAATGGAAAGAGTGACAGTGCGCGACAGAATTACTCTAAATCAGATAAAAGAATGTCTGCAACAACAAAGGAAAATACGAAGAATCAAGATGGTAGAATGGGATATTTCCCTTAGCCGTCATCAGTCGGCGAAGAAAGATGAAACGAATGAAAATAGACCAGCAATGCGAAAAAAGTTGGATCAGTAAAATAGTAGGTACTTCAAATAAGAAAGCTCTCGAGTGGTTGCATACTGATCTTTCACAAGCTCGCAGGCGGGCCTCATCAACATCAGTAAGCCGGCCAGAGCGCTCCGATTCTTGAATGCCATAAACCTAGTTTTTGAACTTTCAGTACCAATCCTTCACAGAGTCATATGGTACATTAGTACCTAAAGCTGTGCACATGATTTGGTCACATTCTGTAGCTGACATTTTGAAACAGAATAATTGAAATAATTGATTCACTATATTCAGATTCCCCTCTGTATATACCCACACCTTTACCAGGCTTGAAAGTCCTTATTTTCGTAACGTTAGTAGTGGTCATATACCTCTAATTTTAGAAGGGTATTAAATGGAGAAAATATTCATATTTTAGCAATGCCAAACCAAACATTAATTTTCGACAAATAGCTGAATCCAACTTTTCCGGTTCTATAGTTATATTATTTTGTTGAAGTTTTATAGTCGTTATGAAACAATACAAAATTTTGACTCCCAGTACTTCAAAAATTGACAGTGATATTTAATTTCAAAATTTTTCAATTTTTGATGTCATTTTCAACTGCAGGGATCGGTTTATCAAGTTAGAATAATTCAAAGAAATAAATCTGAATTAAGTGCAGCAAAAAGTATGTATATATAATTTAATTGGCCCCACAAGTCATGTGGTGTCCTTATCAGATTATTGTAATTAGCCATGAACTTCCAGCGCAATTCAACGTAAACTAACACATTTATCTCAAAACCTGATTTTCGACTTTTATTAATATTGCAGCTACGATATATTTACAGCGAGTGTTGTCATCTTAAAGGATTTTATGGAAGTAAATGCCCCTTATTTATATATCGAATGAAAAATTTGAAGGACTGAATGCAAATTAAGTATGGAAATCTGAATGAACCAACATAAATTCATGGCTTTAGTCACTCGCCCATTACTCAGTGCGGTCAATTGACTGAATAAATATAGCAAAATAACAGCCCAAATTTCTTGAAACCATCATGAGAAAGAATTGCATCGATTTTTAATGTTAAAATCGCCTTTGGTACTTTATACTTGGATTTATGAACTTTTAAAGTACTGGCTTCATTTCTTGAACATATTTCAAAATGCACGTATATACGTACAAAATATTCTAGGCCGTATGTACACAGCCTTGCTGGTCAGATTTTTAAAATCTACTTGGACAGTAATGATGAAAGAACAAATACAGTTAGACGGCATCGCTAGGAACAGGTATGAGAGCAAAAGCAACAGGAATTAAACAACGAGGATTATGTTAAGCTATTCATTTACTCGTGATTTATAAAATGTTAAGACGTAAAGGATTTTATGGCATTCAAGATTGTAAAATGACACCGATTTCCATTTTAGCTGCTCATAAACAGTTCTGCCTCAGATTTTCTACGTGGGTTTAAGGCATGCTGGTGGAAGCCTCACTTTGGTTTGGCAAAAAAGTCGACTTTTGCTGCACTAACACCGATTTTTTTAGTATCGCAGGAAAATGGAGAAAAACTATGAGCAAACTTCCAATAGAAGGAAATAAAGGGAAGTGCAGAATATAAGGCAGGCGGTTATAAAAGTTGTAAAATCTCATTTACAATCAGATTATATTTTTAATAGCAATAAGATATATTTAGCATTAACTACGAGATAACACAACCAACTTTCGCCAAGGCATGAAGTTTATAATTACCTGCAGAAGACATTCTTGCATGGATCTGGGTAAGATTTTGTACCAAATTCAGTGAAGACTGGCCTTTGGACTTGGGTGATCTTTTGATACATCACAGTGTCCAAGAATCTTGACATAACATCGACCTGGAAACAAGATTTCAATAATTACTAAAAGCAATAACTACACTTACACAATGGAAAGATTATGCTTTTATTTTTAAAATTTGTGCCTTTGACTGTTGAGGACAATTTAATCCTCCATAGCATACATTTTCTGTCTCCAAGAAACTATGGCAGTAGCTCTAAGATTTCTTGACACTAGTTGAAAGATTTAACTTACAAAGAAGATTTTTCAATCGAACTCCACATCAAGAAATGGAAATCTGCTGAACAATACATAATAGCAAAGTATTTAGTTGCCAATGTCTTATAATAAATCCAAACACTTATGAAGCACGGGATTATTAACTGCCACTGGCAAACTTTAACAAATATTGTTGCGTTCTACGGGTCCGTGGATTTAAAGAGATTGATAACACTTGAAGAATCAAAGCACAGTTTATTAGTATTACCCAGGAGAGTTCCAAGGAGACGCTTACAGCCGTCGAAAAACTAAGATAAACACGCTGGAAGAAAAAAAAAAAAAAAATCAACACAGCCTTCAGGTTATCAGGCGATAACGGTGAAGACAGCTTTACGGCAAAGCACTAAAATACAGCTCCCGACTCGGTCGATCGCACTTGGAGCTCAAGCACTACTACCGAATTCAATGTACTTAAGATACCCTCGACGATATACTCATACACTGACAAACTTCACGATAAACTGCTACCTCGCGTACAGACAGGGTTTATATATAGCTTTTGACCTGCCTCCGAGAACATTATGGGGCAAATCAGTAAGAATTCGTTCCCGCTCCATCTACTGCATTTCGCCGATTTTGTCGCGAAATGGAGGATTTAGTGCCAAATCTGCACCCCCTGCCTTTCTTTGCCACTTTCTAGCAACCCTAAACTCGCTTTGCCGGGGAAACTATCTTATTGCAGCTGACATTTCGTAACAATAATACGATTGCCAATGTTATATTTAATTTAAAAAATTTCACCAGTCGATAAAGTAGAGCTGCATCTCCAAATAAAGTTGTACATTTTCAATTTCCTATTCAGGCTGATTTAGCAATCTACGTTTAATATTATGTACTTCTAAAAAAGTAATTTATAGCTATTTTTGAACAGCTTTATTTTCAATAATTTCAATGTATTATCGAAAAGGCTTACTTCGTTTTTCAGTAAAACTGCTTGTGTGTATGTATATTTAATTACGGCAAAGCACACTAGGGCTATCTGCCCTAAGGGGAGGGATGCCTTCGTGGAGGACTTTCTAAGGGAAACTGGCTCGTATACACATTACACATGGGGAAAACACCCATGCAGCCAGCCCGTTCGCGGGATTCGCCTCGGACCGAACTACCAGTGTTCAGCGACTTTACCGCTCGGCCGCTGGTGGGCCCAGTAAAACTGCTTGAACTTGGTACATTTAATGGGAAAGCAATGTGTTCCACAACTTACAACAGCTTTCTTAAGCTGCAGAGTTAACAGCTAACTTCTTGTAGATGAAGAAAGCTAAACAAAAAGTTTCTGCCAAAATCAAACCTTTGTCGTCCAAGAATTCTTTGGATCAAGAAAATATTAACACAAAGTTTCGCCTTACAAAACAGTACAATTCGTTCACTGAAGTTAATTTTAAGCAAGCTCTTTAGGTTTTACTCAACACTATATATTTAAATTCAAATTACTATCACTTAAAATTAGTTTTTTTGATAAGTTTCAAGAAACTTGCAGTTAGGTTGATTGCGAAAGCAAAAATTAAGGAGCTGTTAAAGTTTAAACTACGTCTATATCTGGGGTATAATACAGAGTGGTCTGGTATGGTTTCAAGATACTATAACGACAAATTTGAAATTAAACTATGAAGAAAGAGTTGAACTAAAAAATGATTCGATATATATAAAAGTATGAAAATACTAGGAAAACATTTCAATTTTAAAAAAAATTAGATAATGCATGTGAATGTAAATTCACAGATGTTTCTTCAAACAATGAATAGTGAAATAAGCCTGAATAATATCACAGAATAAGGAAAAGACTAAAATTCTTGCGTAATGCAAAACTGAAAAATGTATCTTTCCCAGTGTGTCCAAAATAAATTTACGCAGATGAAAAAAACCTACCTTTTTAATCATTGTGAGAAAAACCTCAGTCTAGTGATTACCCGAAAACATTTAAAAGAAACTGGATACTTTTAAACGTAAATGTCCCTTATGGATACCTCAAGAACAATGCAACTCAAGAACAATGCAACCAGTTCGTTACCCACGATTGTGAACTTTTAACCATCTGTGGTCAGCGCTTTTATGACACGGCCGCCGGGTCTTGCATTACTGATCGTTTTAAACCTCCTAAATACATTTCTTTGACCATTATTTTTACCATATCTGTACTGCACAACGGAGCTATACATTGACTCCGCAGTGATTATCCCACAAAGCGCGTACTGTGTGCATCACACTAAATAACTGCAGCGAGATAACACCTTGGTACTAAAAACATCTTCCAACAGCAAAATGGTTTCCAGAAATGTTCGTATTCTGGCTTACTTTTTCAAAGAATAGATTTCCAGCCGTTCTATTTAACTTTACGATTTAATATCCTAATTTTATATTTTTGTCGAATAAATTGATCACCTTTGCAAGTTTTCGAAACTGCATTTTGAAAATCACGAAAGCTGTCAAAGCTGTATCGCTAAATTTCTATAATTTTTTACTGTTTTATATTTCTATTCTTTTACTGCTATATATTTCTAGATGAGTAGATTCATACATATTGTTACGAAATGTACAGGCGCGGTAAGATGGTTTCCTCGCAAAGCAGTTTTAGGGTTGCCACATTTTGGCGACAAAATCAGCGATATACCATGGACGGATGGAGAACCTTCTGGAACGAATTCTTACCGGTTTAACCCAGAATGTTCTCGAACACATATAGCTATATAAACCCTGCTGGTCCGCAGTCGGAAAGATGTGCATCATCGTGTAGGGCGAGTCAGTGTGTCTCAGAGTGTGCCTCGTCTAGCGAGCCGTGCGGAATCGATCGAGTTGACAGCCGGGCAACGAGTGCCGAAGGAGTGAGTCTCTTAGTGTATCGCGGTTAGTGCATCGTCGAGAGAGCGTGTTGAGCTCCGGGAACGACTGAACCGAAGAGTCGAGAGCTGTGCTCGTGGAGTCTCGAGAGTACGTGGAGTTCCGAGAACGACCAAGCAGCGTCAGGAGACTCGGGTGCTTTGCAGGAAGCTGTCTCCACCGTTATTGCCCGACAGTGTGAAGGCTGTGTCGCTAATTGTTCCAGCGTGTTTATAGTACTTCATCGACGACTGTAAAACATGCTTAGGAGCTGTCCTGACAATACTGACTAATAAAGTGTGTTTCGATACTTCAAGTGTCGTCGTTATTCACTCCAAATCTACGAAACCCGTACGAACGTGAAGGAAGGATATAACGTAACAACTGGTGTCAGAAAAAAACGCAACAATATTAAGAAAAGCTGAAAAACCTGTTAGCTCAAACTGCTTCTATTTAATATTGTAAGAGTGTTTTGGCACCTCTTGAAAGAAAAGAAAAATCTGAAAATAAGAAAACTAATCAATAAATTTATAAAAATATCCATTTTGACCCTTCCCGAATTCATTTGGAAGATTCTTTTGCGTGACCGCTGTACGTACACAGAACAGATAGATTTAAGAGCATACGTAACGTCTGTTCGTGCATGCGTACGTATATATCTCGTACTCAAAAATGATTAGCGATAGAACTTTGATATTTTGTACATGGGACTGCCATAGTATATAGTTTTGCACCTTCCTTTTTTACTGCAATCGGCAATGATAAACGTATATACATACCCACCCTTTTATCCGGCTTAAAAGTCCTTACTCTGCCTCGCAATCATTGGCCGTAGTCGTATACTTTTGATTACACAAGAGTTTTAAATGACGAAAATAGTGCTCTGACTATGTCAAATTTAAATAAATTAATTTTGGACAATTAAAATCTAACTTCTAAGCTCCTATACTTTCAGTTCCTGTGTTTATATTTGGGAAAGTTTTATACAATTTATGATAAAATTAAATTATGAGAATCGATTCCCGTACGACAAACATTTAATTTCAAAATGTGCGATTTTTGATGCTCTTTTCAATTTGCCTTCAGGGAACGGTCGAATTTGAATAATTTGAGGAAATAAATTTAAATGAAGGCCAGTAGAAAATGTGCGAAATTTAACTTATCGAACCAAAAAACTGTCTTTTTTACTTTTATGATTCAAAATGCTGGAAACTCTTGAGTTAACGCCAAGCTAGTATGCGTTAAGTGCAAACTGGGTTATGGTCTTTCAATAAGGTACGAATGTTTGTTTGATTCGTTATGAATCTCTCCACTTCATAATCCATTTTTAATAACCGAAAATACTAGCAGTTAGTACTGAAGAATACCCATAAGGTGAATGAAATTAGGCATCCACATGTTTCCGAGGTGAAAGCAAATTTGAAGCCCATACCGCTGTGGAGAAATTTTTGACCAAGCTATTATAGCGATACACTGCAGAGTAAAGCTAAAAGAGGAACTTTTGAGTAAAACAATTATGCTGGTCTTTTTCAACCGAACTAGTTCTCTCTAAACACGTTTACAGCTGTAAAACTATCCACATATTTCATTGAAGGTACTACCGTTCTTTGTTGAGCATGCAATGCATCACATACACATAATCTGGAGAAAGGCAGAAAAACTTAAAATGTTCTGAAAATGCTACTTGTCTGCATATGAAATCGTATTTAGTATTTAAAATCGTATAATTAGAGACTGTAGATGAGTCACTACAAGTTCTGCTAACTTGCAGAAGCTGACAGCACATACGATAATTGAGCAACTTAGCGCTTAGTACTCGTATTTCTAATACAATGCAGAAGATTGCTTCAATGTGAAATATCCTTTACCAAGATTAAGAATGATAAATCTTAATCTTTTGAAGAGTGAAGATTTAACAAAATGTCTTCACTAACGACATTGGATAACTCACTGACGACACTTTTTA